TGTTCATCCAGCTCCACACCTTGTTATCTCAAACTCCAGCATCGGCAGTTCCTACTATCTCTGAGACAATTAAAGCTCATGTTTTCCCAAACAACTCCACCACTTCTCATTTGGAACATTTTAGCATATAATTAATCCTGTGGATGGATTTTTAAAATAACAGTAATTAACATTTACCTGTGTCAGTGAGCTGAGTTTCTAAACTTTGTCGTTGAATTTTGTTTTCATATGACATGCCAGGTTCTTCTTTAAAAGCTTGTTTAGCTGAAATATAAAAGCACCACAAGTAAAATTACCTTAAAAGCTATGCCTACTGCCTTAAAATACAAATTTAGAATTGTTTAATCATTTTCTTCTTGAAAACTTGCCAGTTTCCTTTCAGACCTTCTGGCAGTTTGCTCTACTCTATTTAAATATAGTGAAGAGATTGTGGCTGACCACTATTCAAGATCTGTCAGAAGTCACACAACACCAGGTTACAGTCCAACAGGTTTATTTGAAATCACAAGCTTTCAGAGTGCTCCTCCTTTGTCAGGTGAAGTGGAAGGACTCACACAGGCACAAAATTTATAGGTGGAAACGTAATTGCAATATAATTCCAGATAATTAAAAGGGTCAAAAACATCGTACAAATGGTGTGAGTGGAGTGTTGACAGGCTGAATAACAAATTTTTGCAGGTGATCCAAAGTGTCAAACGGTGTGAGTAAGATGCTAACAGCTGAATAGCTAGTGAAGAGATGACCTATGATCTAATTAATTAAGGCAGAGAGGCATTTTAAAAAAAAACAAAAATAAGATGGTGCTAGACACAAACCAAATGGCTGGAATAGCAAGAAGACAGCCTCAACCATGACCTTGGATTCATGTCACGCTACATGTAACCCCACCATACTGTTCTGTGTTTGCAAAATCTTTCTCCCTGTTCTGTTTTGACATCTTCACCTTGATAAACTAACCTTAATTAGTTTGCACAGTTTTTGATCACTTGTTACTTTGGTTAGACTCCATCATGCAACTGTTATACCTATCATGTTATTCTATTTTGGTTTGTCTCTAGCACTATCTTATTTTTGATTATTTTGTAAATACCTCTCTGCCTTAATTAATCAGATCACAGGTCATCCCTTCACTTGCTATTTAGCTGTTAACACTTTACTCACACTGTTTGACAATTTTGATTGCCTGCAAAGACTTGTTATTCAGCCTGTTGACATTCCACTCACACAATTTGTACTATTCCCCTTGTACCATCTTTTGACACTCTTAATTACCTGGAATTATCTTGCAATTATTTCTCTGCCTATACGTTCTGTGCCTGTGTACTTTCCTCCACCTCACCCAATGAAGGAGCAGCACTCTGAAAGCTGGTGATGTCGAATAAGCCTGTTGGACTATAACCTGGTGGCATGTGACGTCTGACTTTGTCCACTGCAGTCCAACACCGGCACCTCCACATCCGAGATATAAATGGAAGTAGCAATACTGTTAGAAACACTCCCAAGACAGCACCTTCCAAACCTGCATCCTCTATCATGTAGAGGGACAGGGATAGCATTACCCCCTGAAGGCCAAACACTATCCTGATTTGAAACTAGATCACAATTTCTTTATTGCTGTGGGATCAAAATCCTGGATACTCCCATTCTAAACAGGACTGGTTATATCTAACCCCAACGGCTGTAGCTACACCCCAAAGACTACAACAGTTCAAAAAGCAAGTCACCATAATCTTCTCAAAGACAGAGTTGGACAATAAATGTTGACTTAGTCAATGAAGCTGACATCGCTTGAATGAAGTGTCCCTAAAATGAATACTGCTTTGACGAAGCAATTTTGTAATTACAATTTCAGGCTTAGTATAAATTTGTCTCTGTAGATTTGTTTGGTACTTTAGATATGATCTAATACTATGTTTAAGTATGGACAAACGTCCTTAGAAATGGATTTGTTTTTGCTCGATTTTACAAGTGAAATTTATGTACAGATATTGGAGTGATTTTTTCCTGGATACTTTATATTTTTAGAGCCTTCAAAGTAATCAAGCTTGAGTCTTGAGATGAACCACCAATTCATTGAATGTTTAGCACAAGAATTATCTTGTAAAAGTGTTGAGTCTTGTCCTAGGAAAGGCCAACCAGAGAATCATTAAGCAGCTGCTTACCACTTACTTAAATTGCCTTTCAGTTCTCATTAAGGTGTCTGCACAATATTTTGGTAGCTACCGTTTGGCTTAATGTCATCAATCAGCCAACTGTGAACTGATTATTGCATAAGTTAAAAAAAAGTTAAATGTTTTGTATGTATTCTTGTACATTTAGTGCTGATAGCTTTTGGAACACATTATGGGAGACTTCTTGCAATATTTGGTCAACACTATCACCATTTACTCCAAAATAAAATCTGACATCTTCATCTAAAAAGGGATCCATTATAGAGATCACCATGAAAAATTGATCAGTTACAACTTGCTAGGAATTCCCTCCATTCTGCAAGAGAGATGGGAAGAAATATAAAAATGGGAACCCACTCTCTAACAGCATTTTCAGTGTACCTCCACCAAAAGGGCTGCAGCCATTCAACAAAGCAGCTCAGCACCACATTTTCAAGAGCAATTAGGGATGGGCAACAAATGCTGACCCAGCCAACAAAACTCAAATCCCATGGGTGAATAAAGTCTTGTGATGTGGTAATAGTGTCCAGTGTCCCTATATTTGGACCAGAACGTCTGGGTTTAAGTCTTGCTTCAGCTGTAATGGGCACAGAAATGTGTCATAACACATCTAACTAAGTTAAAAAATAAGTAATCCTTTGGAAGAGAAACAACAAGCTGATAAAAAAACTGTTTTAAGGCTGTTGTGGCACAGTGTAGTGCCCCTACTTCTGGGCCATAAGGCCTGGGTTGGAGTCCCACCTGCTCCTGAAGTATGTCAGGTTGATTAAAAATATCAATAAAGAGAACATGAGAGAGGTAAGAGAGATAGGAAAGTGAGGCATACTACTCACATACCACTCCACCAACCTCTGCATCCAGCACATCATCCTCGGCCATTTCCACCACCTACAATCTGACCCCACCACCAAAGAGATATTTCCCTCCCCACTCCATATGCTTTTCTCCGTGACGCCCTTGTCCGCTCAACACTCCCCACCAACTCCACCACTCGGCACCTTTCCCTATAATTGCAGGAGGTGCTACACATGCCCCTATGCCTCCCCTCTCAACTCTATCCAAAGCCCGAGACAAACTTTCCATATCCAACAGGGGTTCACTTATATATCCGCCAACCCGGTCTACTGTATCCATTACTCCCAATGTATCCTCCTGTACATCGGTGAGACCAAACATAGACTCGGTGACAGATTTGTGGAGTATCTGTACTCTATAATCAAAAACACCTTCCAGTTGCTAACTGTTTTAACTCCCCCTCTCACTCCCACTCCCTTAGTGACATGTCCATCCTCGGCCTCCTCCAGTGCCACAATGATGCCATACGCAAATTGGAGGAACAACACCTCATATTCTGCCTCAGGAGTCTACAGCCTGATGGCCTAAATCATAGAATTTAAAATCTCCCTGCCCCGGCCCCCCCCCCCCCCCCCCAACCCGCCCCCCCCCTCCCCCCCCCCACAGAAAACCGAAGAGCCATTAATGCAGGGATTCAAACTTTAAAATATTAATATTTCCAATTCTAAATGCAAAACAAAGCAATATCTATAATAATTATTTGAGAGCTCACAGTAGTTTCTTAAGGCAGACATGTAATAAGCTGTTTGCTAAAGCAACATGTCAAGTCTTACTTGGTTTACAACGTCGTTTTGATTCTGTTTGTGTTCCAGTACCGCACAGCAATTTTGCACTTCCACAAAGAGTTTCAATATCTGAAATACAATATCAACACTACTTAGAAACAATGTTAAAAAACTAAAATGACCTCTTCATAGAATCCCTACAGTGTGGAAACAGGCCCTTTGGCCCAACAAGTCCACACTGACCCTCACAGCATCCCACCCAGACCCATCTGCCTATAATCTACCTAATCTACTCATCCCTGAACACTATGGGCAATTTAGCATGGTCAGTCCACCTAACCTGCATATCTTTGGACTTTGGGAGGAAACCGGAGCACTCGGAGGAAACCCACACAGACATGGGGAGAATGTGCAAACTCCACACAGATAGTCACCCAAAGGTGGAATCAAACCCAGGTCCCTAGCACTGTGAGGCAGCAGTGCTAATCAATGAGCCACCGTGCCACCCCTGCTTGTTGAATATATCTTTTCAGTACCACTGACAACATTTCATGATCTTATTGTAACTTTGCCTATACCTAATAACAATTTAATAAAAACACAAACAGTCAGCTGCGAGGAATAGTCTATTTAATGAGTTAAAACACATCTTTCTGAATCCTGATTACGACTTCTTACTTTTTAAACATCTTCTACTCTTCTTCTACTGTTTTTCTTCTACTTCTGCATCAGAATATATTGCAGATATTTATCACACTCTATGAAATGTTTTTAAAAGTGGTTTTACTTTACTTTTCATGGATATTTATTTACATTCACTCATTCCTTTTACTTTAATTTGACTTTAAGTCATAATGGGCACTTTAAGTCCCACATTTTTTTTGCCTCTTTAACACTCTATATGCAGCATCTTTCCTCATTGTTCTACACTTTGGACCAACTTCATTTACTTACCTTTTAACCTTTACAACAGAACAATAAATTATTTTTATATAGAGCCTTGAATGTAATAAAAGTGCCAAGGTCCTCATAGCAGCAATACAAAGTGAAGTTTGACACCAAGAAACAAACATATGAAATCAGATCCATAAAAGCTTAGTTGCATGTTTTAAGGAGCATTTTTCATATGTTTTATGGAACATTTTAAAGTTGGGAAGAAAGGTGGAGAGGTGTAGGTGGGCATTCCAGAGTTTAGGGCCAAGGCAACTGAAGGAACAGGCACTAATGATGGAGCAATTAAAAGTAGGAAAGCACAACAAGAGGTCAGAATTCAAAATGCTGGATATCTTGGAATGTTTGGAGCAAGAGGAGATTACAGGCATAGGGAGGGGTGAGGCCAGAGAGGAATTTGAAAGCAAGAAGATAATTTTAAAATCAAAGTACTGCTTGTCATGGAGTCAGTGTAGGCCAGGGGATCAGGATTTGCTAAAATTTAAGACAAGGTCAGCAGGATTTTAAGTGGACTTCAACTTTATGGAGGGTAGAATGTGAAAGACAAGCAAGTAGTGTGTTTAACAGTTGAGTTTAGAGGTAACAAGGACATGAATGAGTCTTTCAGCAACAGTTTAACTGAGACATGAGTGAAGTTGAGTAATGCTACAGATGTTGAAATGAGAGGTCTTATCAATGCCATAAACATGAAGTCAGAAGATCATCTCAGGATCAAACTTGACAAGTTTAGTGTGGGATGTTCCCTTCCCTATAAGTGTCAGGGAAGGTTGCAGGAAGGGCAAGTAATCAAGTCATTGCTCACCGGGAAGATACCTGCCCTATTCCTGCCACCTAAGCAATTAAGTTCTGGGTGTAAAGGTCAATGGTCAACCTTACTGATTTGCCACCAATTGGGGGCAATTAGGGTACAAATAGGGGGAGGGTGGAGTGTGTTGTTGTCACTGAAAGCCACCCCCTGCACTTGCCTCCAACCTTGAACTCCTACCCAGCCACATCCAAGAGGGTGGTTAGGTGCAGGTGGGGGAATTTTCAATTTAAAAGACACAAGCCCCCACATCCTGGCATTAATTTCTGATTTTTGCCAAAGAAAGTGAAGAAGCCAGTCTGTAGAAAATGCTTTGATGAGAGGCCTGTAAACATTGAAATAAATTCCTGCTTATCCAGTACTAGATTTTGGATAAGCTGTCCAATAATTTAGTATCAGTGGAGGGTTGGGAGAAGTAGTAATGCTGTATAGATTGGTGTCGCTAGTGCATGTGAAAGCTGACACATTTTTTAGATAATGCTGTCAAGAGACAAATATAGATAAGTAACGGGAGGAAATGAAGGATAGATTCTTGAGGGAAAACAGAAATGGTTTTTTTAAAAAATAATCAACCTATTCAGAGATGTTATTACACACCTCTGGAGCAGGTAGGATTTGAACCCAGACCTCGTGGCTCAGAAGTATTAACACTACCACTGTACCACAACAGCCCAAAACAGAATGATAGTGCAGGAGCAGAACAAGAAACAATTGCTTTTTTACTTTTGCCATAATTAGATCAAGATGGGAACATGACTGAGCAGTCTTATCTATCTGGGTGACAATGGAGAGATTAGGGCTTTTGGAGTGCGGTGGTACTGTCCCTATCTCTGAGTCCAGGAGGCCTGGGTTCAAGTTCCTACCTACTCCAAAAGTATGTAGTAACATTTCTGATCAGCATTTTAAAAATACCTGATAGTGGAGAGATACTGGAGGAGTATAGCGTGGTCAAGCATCAGAAATGACTGACAGGTTAAGAATGATAAAGATAGAAGGTTCATATTTGCCACAGTCACATTGGGTGTTATTTGTGTTTTCGATAAGAACTGTGCCAATATTGAGCTAAGGCAGAAACTGATTGGTGGAATTTAAATATGGAGCTCTTGAGGAAGATGGAAATGGATTCTGGGCAACAATAACAATTTCAAGGACTTTGGAGAGGAAAGGGAACTTGGAGATGGGATGATCGTGGAATCAACTGAAAAAAAAACAAATGCTAGATAGAGATCACAGTGGGTGAGGCAGCATCTATGGAGAGAGAGAGCAAGCTAATGTTTCAAATCTTGATGACTTTTCATCAGAGCTGACATGAAGTGTGGAGAGGGCAGCATTAATGCTATAGTTGGGGGGTGGAGTGTAGAGTGATGGGGGAGAAAGGATGTTGATAGTTCAGTTTAAGTGATTGGAATGTGAAAATGGTGGAACAATAGTGTGTCACTGCCAGGCTTGAAAGAACAGTCAGTCAGTCCCACTAGGGTAGGGGGAGGGGAGAGAGGACATGGTGACACAGAATATAATAAATAAAGTTAAAAGAAGGGGAAGGAATGGAAGTTGGTTCATAATTTGAAGGTGATGAACTCAATATTAAGTCCAGAAGGTTGTAAAGGGATTCAATGTGTTTTTTAAGGACAGTGATGATGATAGCAGATTTAAAGGAGACAAGGTCAGCACTTGAACACACAATGGTTTACAGTATTGGCTAACATGGGGCCAGCAGGAGAAATTGCATGATCAGAAATTTGGTGGGATTGGAATCAAGGATATAGGTGATGACTCTTGAATTCAGAGAGACCATGAAGAGAAAAAGGAAGCTCTGGAAAAAATGATTGCAGTATTAAATTAAGTTTAACCAGGTGAGAAATGGAAAGGAGGAACACAGCAGAAATAGCTGGTGGGATCACCTTGATCTTAGTGACAAGAAATCCACAAGATTGTTATACTTGTCATTGAAGGTGAGGATGGAGGGGATGGGGAGAGGAATTTAAAAAGATTTACAATAGATCAAACAACCTGGAGTTACTTGTGCATTCCAGGAGCATCCTCGATAGCGAGCAGCTTCAGCGCACAACTGCAGGACATGACAGTGTTTCAAAGTGGTATAGCTAGAGTTGCCTGTAGACATTAAAACCAATTGTCCACCACAGTCTTTTATTTCTCCTTTGAGCTAGCCTATCTAGAGGAATTCCCATGGTGGCAGGATGAGATATGGTAATTTTTTTTATTGGAGAATATGATATCAAAGCTGAATGTAAAATGCAGTTGACGTGATGAGTACCTGCAAAAATGTGGTAGTTAACAGAAAGACAAAGAATTTTGAACATGCAGTTGTCAGTGAATTAGGGGATTGTTTTTCTGGAGATGGAGATAGAAGGAGCAAGGTTGAAAAGTGGAAGGTGGATATAGGTGCTAAGTGATACAAGGAAGTGTTCAGAGTCGGCCTTATTTGTAATAGTCGGAAATAATACGGACTAGGAATGGGTTTGAATACAAATTGTGAGTTTAGGTGGAGGGAGAGATTTAGTGAAGGTGAGAAGAGTGTAATCTGAGGAGAGAGAACATGAAGAGTTAAAATAGATGTTGAAATCACTGAAAATGAGAAATCATTTGGAGCAGAAGCTGAAGAAAGAAGCCAGTGAAGATATCTCAGTGACTTTTTTTTATTGTACTTGCTTTAGTATGAGAGATGAGGGGTGCGAAGCAATGTAAAATGCTTAAAGTGGGAAGAAGTACCAGACAAGTAGGGAATAAAGCCAAGGTGTAATCTGGTGTGAAGCGCTAGACTAAACAAAAAACTAAAATGGTGGAGAAACTCAGCAACTCTGGCAGCATTTGTGAAGACGGAAACAGATTGAATGTTTCATATCTAATATGAATCTTACAACATAGAATAGCACAGCATAGGCTTTCGGCCCACCATGTCTACACCGACCACAAAGCCATTCTAAACTAATACCTTCTGCCTGCACATAGTCCATATCCCCTTTACTCTCTTTATTGTTCATATGTCTGTCTGAATGCCTCTTAAATATTGCTATTACAGCTGCTTCTACCATCTCCCCTGAAATGCATTCCAGGCCCCTACCACCCTCTGTATAAAAACTTGCCTCACACATTTCCCTTAAACGTTCCCCCTCTCTCCATAAACTTATGTCTCTGCCCCCCGCCCCCCGGTATTTGACATTTCCACCCTAGGAATAAGACTCCAGCTATCCACCCTATTCATGCCTCTCATTATTTTATATGCTTCTAGCAGGTTGCCCCTCTGCTTCAGACACTCTAGCGAAAATCATCCAAATCTGTCCAACATCTCGACATAGCTAATACAGTCCAATCCAGGCAACATTCTCGTCAATAAACAACTGAAAGAACTGCGGATGCTGGAAATTAGAAACAAAAACAGAAAGTGCTGGAAAAACTCAGCAGGTCTGGCAGCATCTGTGGAGAGAAATCAGAGTTAACGTTTCAGGTCCAGTGACCAGTTCTAAAGAAGGGTCACTGGACCCGAAATGTTAACTCTGATTTCTCTCCATAGATGCTGCCAACTGCTGAATTTATCCAGCAATTTCTGTTTATGTAACATGCTGGTAAATCTCTTTTGGATCCTCTCCAAAATCTCCACATCTTTCCTATAGTGTGGCAATCAGAACTGCACACAATACTCCAAAGTGGCCGAACTAAAGTTTTACACAACTGCAACATGACTTGCTAACTTTTATACTCAATGCCAACTAATGAATGCAAGCATTCTGTAAGCCTTCTGCACCACCTTATCTACTTGTTTTGCCACTTTCAGGGAGCTATGGATTTGCACCTCAGGATCCCTCTATATGTCAATGCTCCTAAGGGTCCTGCCATTTTTTGAACACTTTTTACTTGCATTTGACCTCCCAAAATGCATCACCTCACATTTGTCCAGATTAAAATCCATCTGCCCAATTTTCCAATTGGCCTATATCCTACTGTATGCTGTGAGAACCTTCCTCACTTTCCACAACTCCACCAATTTTTGTGTCATCTGCAAACTTACTAATCTGACCACCCACAGCTTTTCAGGAATGTAATGGTGGTTTTTATACTGTTGAAGTGGGGAAAGGATGAGTGAGTGGAACAGGTGATGAGGGTTCCCAGAGCAAAAGACAAAGGGAATGATAAGGGCAAATATGGTAAAGGACGGATTGATATGTAATATAGATATAAATGTCAGGTGTGAAAAGGCGTCCGATTTACTGAGACTAAAGCCAACATGACAATGACAAGACAAAGCTGGCAATAACGAGAAGCTCAATAAGCTACTGGGAAAGGTGACGATCGCTCAGGGTCTACGATCGAGGCTATGCTGCTGCCCAAGAAAATGACCGTTGGGAATACAGCTAAATAGTAAAGAAACAGGATTCACAAGAATGATCTATTTCTGAAATAGCCTATATAAACCTTCTACTTTGAAACTGTCTAAATTAAGTCATATTATTTCAGAATTCAATACAAATGCTGCAAAAACACAGGCTACACATATAAGAAAATTAGTTTTAAACCTAACATAGACACACAAAAACATCTTTAGTGAAGAATCATGAAAATTTACCTTCAAGGGTCAAATCAGTTTGTATGCTTAGACTGCACAATATAGGCTTCTGTTTCCCTGAAATAAAAAAACAAGCACTACTTATGCAAGGCAGTACGCTGAAAAGTTTTGCTACAGTAATTGGAAGACATGGAAAACTAATTCATCTCATCTACAGCCCCTCTTTGCTCCCTATTTTTTTTTCAGAAAATTATGGAGTTAATTGATTTGTGATTGGAATCATTGCTGCCTTTAGGAATGGAACTGACTTTGCAGCGGACTAGTTTAATAAAATTATTTAATGAGATGAGGACATTGCTGGCTAGGACAGAATTTATTGCCCAACCCTAATTGCCCAGAGGGCAGTTACCAGTCACCCACGTTGCTGTGGTGTAAAATGTTGGTGGCTTAGAGTCTAACATGAAGGTCCTTTGGAGCAAGTGACAATCTGAATTCGCCAGATACCTGGTTTTCATGGCAAATTTTCTTGACATCTAGCTTGTTTGTTAAACTTGGTAAAATAGAAAGCAGAATATTAATGAGGCAAGTTTGACCAATAACAAGGCATTTACCAAGCAATAATCCTCCTTTATTGGAAACTTGCAGTTGCCTACCAAGAAATTCATTCATTGTCAAAAGGAACAGATGGCCCCTAGTGAGTACTGAGGAACAAAGGGACCGTGGTGTACAATTCCATAGATTCCTGGAGGTGTTAGCACTGGTATGGTGAAGAAGGCATATGGGATATTTGCCTTCATTACTTGGGTACAGAGCATAGGATAAAGGAAGTCTTGTTGCAACTTTATGGAACCTTGGTTAGGCCACAGGTGGAATACTGTGTGCAGTTCTGGTCGCCACACAATCAGAAGGACATAATTGCACTGGAGAGGGTGCAGAGGAGATTCACCAGGATGTTCCCTGGGATGGAAAGTCTCAGTTATGAAGACAGACTGAATAGGTTGGGTTCGTTTTCCCTGAAGCAGAGGAGGCTGAGGAGTAATCTGATTGAGGTGTACAAAAGTATGAGAGGCATAGATAGGGTAGATCATGAGAATCTTTTCCCCACAGCAGATGACTACAGGCTGCACACATGTTGTTTTGAGAGCATCAATCACCAACTTACAGAGTTCAACAACAAAAATGCTTTCAGCATGTTCAACTAAAAATTGTAAGAAGATTTTGGACACCTGCCTCAGGTATCCTCGGAGCTACCATGATGCATAAATGATGCATCCAAGGTCCTTCGGTCTTATGGAGCTGGCAGCTGGGAGGCAAGAGTTACCCCTTCCAAACATGGCTGATGACCTTCACAAAACCCTCAGTCTGACACAGAATGAACATACAATGCTGTCTATGCTTCCACCAAGGCCACAGTGAAACAGGCCACAGGCTTCCTGCAGATGTAGTTTTGCTGCCTAGGCCAGCCGAACTTTGCAGTACAGCACAGAAAGGGCATCGCATCCTTGTGGAATTCTGTGCCCTTCATAACTGGAGCTAACAAAATGAGGTTATCCTGGATGTAGAAGAAATGGAGAATCAACTGCAGTCTAAGGATGAAGATGTGGTTCAGAACATTAATTGGAGGGACATCAAAGAAGAATGATGCAGTAATGCATCATTGTGCACAAAAAGCCTCGTTGAAATCCCGTGCAGGATGAATGTGCTGCATTCAGACTTCTTTCCATTGTCTAACTTGCTGTTGTTATTTTAAATTCACTCATGGGTATTGCTGGCTAGCCAGCATTTATTGCCCATTCCTATTTGCCTTTAAGAAGGTGGTAGTGAGCTGCAAATCGCTGCAGTTCGCATGCTGTAGGTAGACCCACAATGCTGTTAGAGGGAATTCTAGGATTGTGGCCCACTAAAAGAATGGCAATATATTTCCAAGATGCATGGTGAGTGGCTTGGAGGGGAAATTGCAAGTGGTGGTGCTCCCAAGTATCTGCTGCCCTTGACCTTCTAGGTGGACATGGTCGCGAGTTTGGAAGGTGCTATCTAAAGATCTTTGGTGAATTTGTACAGTGCATCTTAGGAGCTAGTACACACTGCTACTTAGCGTCAGTGGTGGAGGAAGTGGATGCTTGTGGATGTTGTTCCAAACAAGTGGGCTGCTTTATCCTGAAAGGTTTCATGCTTCAAGAGTGTTGTTGGCACTGCACTCCTTCAGGCAAATGGGAGTATTCCATCACATTCCTGACCTGTGCCTGATTGACAGGCTTTGGGGAGTCGGGAGATGAGAATACTCACTGCAGTATTCCAAACCTGATAGTGGCACTTATTGTCATGGATCAAAAACGATCATTAACCTTTTTCCTGCCTTTCAGGGTGTTGTGGTTCACCTAGGATACTGCACTGACACATGCTGCATTCTCAGTCCAGGCTGGCTGGTTCTGGCGGTGTGGCACCCTTTGCTATCAGCAGTATGAAACATGGCCCTCCATTCTACTACTCTGTTGATCAGGATCTCCAGATCCTTGTTGGCAAACCAAGGAAGTAACTTGTCTTTCTGGGCCTTGAGGGTAATAGTGTAGGATTACAATTTGAAGAGGAGTGCTTGTTCTGCAGCATCTTAAGTGGTGCACAGGTAAGGTTTAAATATAGTGGCAGTGGCGTGAATGTTGCAATGTTCTGGCAGCAGTAAGTACTTGCAGTTCTCCTGCCATGTGATTCCATGAGATGAAAGATGGAGGGTCTGGTTGCACAATTAAAGATGAGGAGCAGAGGATTTGTGGCATGGCAGATCAGGCATCATGAATCTCAACTGAAAAAAGTTTGCCAAAAAATGGAAAAATTCTGCGCTACGTTTAGATGCTTGTGTCGAGATTTTCCAACTCAATCTATTTATATATACATACACATTTGTAATCTTTGATTTTTTTTGCATAATAAATTAATGCTGTATTTTTAAAGGACATCTGCAGCCTCATGTTTCAGGGACTAACCACCACGTTAACCAACTCCAATAAGTAAATATTTGATCTGTCAAGACAAGTTTCATTCTACAATCTGACTTCCCAGTATTAGTTAGCAACTGGGATCATAACAAAAGTTAATTTACAAAGTGACTAAGGAGATTAAAATATTGCTGTGAAATTTGTTTCAAGCTTACCTATTGAAGAGGTGGATTTTATGCTACCCAATGATGTGGCAGGTACGAAATTCTTGGCATCTGAGAGTTTCAAGATAGGCAGATAAGTTGAGAAATGGAGTTTTTGCCAGAAGAACATCCAGGATTGCTAAGTGCTTGGGCAGTAGCAAGAATCCAACCTTGTAAGCTTCAATAGGATATAGTGGAAAAAGCGACTAGCCCAGGCCCAAAAAATGTTAGGATCAGAATTCAAAAATCTCAAAGGCAGCATCAGGAAATAGTCTCTACTAAAGAAAGCCTGATCAGTGTGGAGAACTGCATGAAAGATTAGTTTGCTAATGACAAATATGAAATGGTGACAACACTTGTCCATCAGCCAGAGGAAATAAAATACTTGAATGAAGGTTTGAAACATCTAAACTAAAAACTTGGGACATCAAATTTAATGTAAACTGATCTTCAATTTATAGTCAAGTACTTATTGTGAAAAATGCATTGAACAGAAGAAATTCTCAATGAATGCCAAATTAAATTCTCAGACTATCAAACTATGAAACTTTGTGTTGAAACCATAAATGAAAGTTTTGAGCTCCAGTGCCATCTGGAGACCAAGAAAGATGAGCTATGTATTATAGAAAACCAGATTCAGCAGACTTTAAAAGCAGTCACGGAAATTTTAAGAAACAGAATGAGGAACTGATTGGAGCAGATGCTCAGCTGAATGATAAGATTGAGCAACTGAAAGGAATTGGACAATAAGAGAGAAAAGGAATGTTTGTAGGAAACTATGAAAGAAGTGGAAATTAAAGCACCAGTTTTGAAGAATCAGTGAAACAAAATGAACAACAAGAAAATGACTCGAATAAAAGAGTAAGATCGTCTTAGCGCTGGTTTATTCATTTGAAATCACATTTCTTATTTGGGAAGTGATTGAAAGAGACAATATTGAAGCTGGTTGTCAGAAGTATATGCTTTTTTTTAACAAACATAAAGATAGTGCTGATTACTAGTTAATGCATCCTCTCAAATGATGAATCAGTAACACACAGTGAAAGCAAAGTAGGGTATTCTTTTCAGAAATTTAATATCTACTGCCAAATCTGGCTCAGTGGAAATGTTACAGACAAAGCTGTGATCAGTGGCTCATCTCCTGACCTCTCAAAACATCTTCAATGCCTACAAAATCAAGTCAGAAGTATAACAGACAACAATCAACATAATGATAAAAGATGAATGTAGTACATTATATCTTGAGAATGCATAAAAATTAATTCAATAACATCCTTAGTGTTGCATTCTGTATCATCAAGGACAAAAGTAGCAAAACAATGAAAACACCCAACTCCAAGTTCTCCTCCAAGTTATACAGCATCATGAGATACCGGCGTCAGTGCTGACACCACTGGTTTGAGGGAAATTTGGATGGCATTAAATGCAGTCAGGGTGGCCCACATTCAAAGGATGGGAGATTATAAAATTCCTTTCCTGTCTTCAACATTGTTTCCTTTCAGTATCCATAAGAATTTAGTCCAGACTTAAGAAAAAGGTGTGAATACAGAACAAAATAATCCTTTATTTTTAAACTTAGGTTTTATGGTCAAGAAGAACAAAGTAAATATTTTTGGACATGTATTTAATGATCACTTATATATTGTGTAATACTTACCAATAATTCCAGTTTAAAAGTTCCTGTAAATAATTTCTAGAATCATATCCTTCATTACTCAAAATTCCCATTGGAGGCACCAAAATGAGTTTCAGAGAAATGGTGCATATTTAAAGTAATCATTTAAGTCTAAATGAAACAGAAAATGAACATTTACCTTTACTGGGACGGGCACATTTTTCTGTTTGTGTGCCACTATCATGTAACACTGCACATTCTTTCCCAAAAGCTTGTAAAACTGAAATAAAAAGTTAGCACAATTTAGGGATATGTATGCATTAAAAAGGATACTACTTTAAAGGATAATGTATTCATTAAAAAAATCTGTTTGGTAATACTTTAAGTTTAAAGCATGAAGAAGGGCAGAGAAATTATTCTTTATTGATATCATGATAACATGCTTCAGCATTATCTACATCAAATAACTTTCAAGAATACGGTTTGAAAACTGTATCGGGGCTGTAACATGGAATCATGATACATGATTAACTCATGTCATTGGAAAGCAATGCAAGCAGCATGCAAATTTCTTGCTATACACATTTCCATAACTGTAGCATGCTGCTTCAATCCTGAAAAAGACCAATTAAAGCTTGTCTGCATTTCTTAAAAGTGAGCAGCATTTTGGCTTGAAATGGGACAAAACATGACGAATGGTACATCAGTTCAGACAGAAGACTCCAAGATTCTCAGTTACCATGCTAATAGGCCTTAGTCCAGAGGATCAAAAAAGATGAGAGAGGAGATCTATAGTAGAGGAACATGAGGCCCTGCAGATAGACATTGCAAAGGCAATTTGAGCAAATATCCGTGGAATTCAATACTAGGACAATGGCCTTGAAACAGGCCTAATTACAGTGTCAGAAGAAGTTTAATAATGATCTCACATAGGTGGTCTAGATCAATAGTACGCCTTCAAATTCCATAGTTCATTAACTTTCTTTTATTCGGCTAAGGAATGTAGGCATTGCTGGCTATGTTAGTATTTGCTCATCCCAAATTGTTCTTTTGAAGGTAGTGTTGAGCTGCCTTGAGTACCAAGTCACAATAGTGTGTATCTCCTCCCTTGACATTTGAGGTGTGAACGCTGAAGGTGGTAGAGGGCTGCTAATCAAATGGGCTGCTTAGACCTGAATGGCTTTAGCCTCTTCAGTGTTTTTGAAGCTGCATCTACTAGGCCAGTGGATAGAATTCCATTCCACTCCTAACTTGCACCTTGTAGATGGTGAACGGGCATTGGGGAGACAAGAGTTGTCTCATAGCAGAATTCCTAAACTCTGACTTGCTGTTATAGCTACAGTAATCATATTATTGGTTCAGTTTCTTTTTTGCTAAAAATAGAATGTTGATATTGGGGAATTCAGCAATGGGACTGCCATTGAAAATCAAAAGGCAATGGTTAGATTCTCTCCTGTTGAATTTCATTTCTTGGCACTGTGTGGTGTGAGTGTTACTTATCACTTGTTGTGCAGGTCTTGCTGATAAGGACGTGGACTGCTTCAGCACTTGAGGAGTTGAGAATGATGCTGAGCATTGTTCAACCATCAGCAAACATCTCCATTTCTGACCTTACAATGAAGGGAATTTCACTGATGAAGCAACTGAAGACATTTGGGCCTAGGACACTATTTTTGGGAACTCTTGCAGGATAATTAACCTCTAAGAAGCAAAACCATCTTCTTTTGTGCTAGGTATGACACCAACCAGCAGAAATTCTCCCCCAGTTCTCACTGACTAGATTTTTCATAGACCATCGAATCCCTACAGCGTGGAAACAGGCCCTTCGGCCCAACAAGTCCACACCAACCCATCCCCCTATAACCCACCTAAGCTCCACATCCCTGAACACTATGGGCAATTTAGCATGGCCAATCCATCTAGCCTGCACATCTTTGGACTGTGGGAGGAAACCGGAGCCCCTGGAAGAAACCCATGCAGACACTGGGAAAATGTGCAAACTCTACACAGACAGTCGCCAGGCGGTGGAATTGAACCCAGGTCCCTGGTGCTGTGAGGTCGTAGTGCTAACTACTGAGCCACCGTGCCGTCTTCCTTGATGCCATTCTCAGTCAAATGCCACTTTGATCTTGAATGCAGTTGCTGTCTCTTCACCTCCAAAATGTAGCTCATTACATGACATCAATACAAACCTTTGGTCATGTATGGACAAAAGAGCTGAACTCCAGAGGTCAGGAGAGGGTGACAGTCTTTAACACTTATTATCCCAAATGTGATATTGTCCAGGTTTGCTGCATATGGACTGACACTGCTTCACCGGGTCCAAAGTGAGTACAGGGATCTGTGCTACTGCAATCAAGAAAAATGGATTAAATGAACCCTTGCAGTCAAGGAAAAGCAGTCTGATTGCAAACTACTGCAAATTTAGTCTTGAGGGTGGGCTCTGATCAGGTGAATCTGCCCTGCCAAGTCAGTCTAGAGGTTGGACCAAGAAGGGGGTCACATATAATCTGGGGGTTTTTCACAAGTCAGTTTATAGCATCATTAAGATTGTTCTCGTTATTGTATTTGGCTGCTGAGAGAATGATCACAATGATCAGGGAAAACTGCAATAGTATGGTATGACCTAGTTGTGTTCGAGAGGGGACTATGTGGTCTCAATGGGGGTGGGGGGCATGGTTGGGGGCACAAAACATGTCATGGTCACTTTGGCCTTGATATCACAATGGGAGACATTTAGAATTGAAGTAAGTTGTGTGTCAATCACTCAAATAAAAAGTTGGAACCTCAACTAAAATCAACTGAGCAATAGGTCTCAATGTGGAAAACTGAGCATCCAAAGGAAGAAGCATAAGTCACTGTTTTTGCCAAGTAGATGGAACTCCACTCAACTCAGTAATGTGAGGCTTTCTGCAGGGCCACCGTGGTAATCATAACTGCATTGATTAAACAATGCTGTTCATCTGCTTTCAATTTATACTTAATTTAGGAGTCAACATTCAACAAAGCATCCAATTCTGAAATGCACTTCTGAAGTAATCATTAGGAGTACAAAGTACTCAATGATTACCACCTTGTGATTGCTAGATCAACAAAACATCATGGAACAAGGCATTCTCAATTACACCTTTATCTTACCAGTTAGCAAAGCCACATAGTCCCAAGACTAAGGTCACGCATTATGGCTGCCATATCCTCACACACAACAGGAACCCTGCCAAGGCATAACTACTGAGGTTCATTGGGGTTGCTGGGATGGATTCTTGGCAGTTGTCTAATGCCAATAGAAAATAGGTACTTTGTTGGATTACCTTACATGAGGTAAGTATACTTAGCTCTAAATTCTTCAGAGCATTCAGTGCATTACATTTAGATCTTTGTGCATGCTACATATCACCCTCTATGAGGGCATGCCATTCAACTTCACTGTGAAGAATGCAGGGCTCAGGCATACATTTAATAATATGTAAGTTTATGTTACTTTTCTCATAGGTTTGCTTCAACTTAGTAAAGAATGGCTGAGGTCAATCCAGCTGTTCTTCTATTTGTGCTGTTAATCAAAAGAAATAGGCACAGAAGGCAGCAGAGAGATCATTTTCAACAAAGCCAACGTGTATAGCAGTCACTACTGGTTACAACTGCATCTAGAGGGGTTAGTAGCAGGACAAGATTCATCAAGGAAGTAGAGGGTTCTGGTGCAGAACCATAGCTACATACTTTAGTGCAGCTATCTACAATGATTGAGGTCCAGTACAGAAGAAGACTAAGGATGGGTCCAAGCCATTGTGTCACACCTATGTCACTGGATGAGGACTTACTCTCATAAGCTCAGTGACAATCAATTCAACATGCTCACTGCTTTAAGCTCAAAGGGAAGATTCCTCCCTTAGTCAAAAAAAAAATCTGCATGAGGGTTCTGATGAAAGATCATCAATTTGAAATGCTAACTTTGTTTTCCTTCCCATAAGTGTTGCCTGACCTACATTTCCAGTTTTATTTCAAATTTTAAATATCTGCAGCATTTTACTTTGTAATAGAATCTTGGGAAATTTTCAAGGTGCGGGATTGGGAATCTAAACAATTCAAGAGATATGTTGGCAGAGAAGAAATATGGAAACGTAGTGTTGGAAGAAGATGGACGAGCAACAAATTTCACATAGCAAATTGAGGTTGAAGAAGACAAAGATGATATGCAGCTGCAGTTCCATACTTAGAGATGATAGCAACAACAAGTTATGTACAAATTTAATTCAGGGAGAGGATGGTGTAGTTATACGGAGGGGTTGTTGCTGAAGTATTAATTCAGAGACCACATCGTGCTCTGGGCAATTGATTCTGAATCCCACCATTACAGATAGTGGAAATGAATAAAACAAAAATAAATTAAAGATCTAGTGGTCACCACAAAATCAATGTCTACCCTAATGCCCTTTAGGAAAGGCAATCTGCTGTCCTTGCCTGGAGTGTCCTATGTGTTAATTGAAGCCAATAATGAAGTGGTTGACTCTTAACTGCCCTCTGAAATGGCCTAGCAGCCATTCAGTTGAATCCTTTTCTAAAAGAAAGGAATGAAACTCTACAGTCCACCTGGCATTGACCTAGGCATAGGAAATGATAAAGGCAATTAAAACCCCTTTGACCCTGCAAAGTTCTCCTTACTCATATCTGGAGGCTATAGCCAAAGTTGGGAGAACTGTCTCACAGACTAGTCAAGCAACTGCTTGACTATAGTCATACTCATGGAGTTGTACATTACAGACAATGTCCCAGCACCACCATGACCATGCCTGAATTTGTTTGCTCCATCAGCAAGACAAACCTATTAGATGTGGCAGTACAGTAGTATACAGTCAGGAGGAGTTGCTCTGGGAGTTCTCAAAATTGACTCCAGACCTTATCAAGTTTCATGACGTCAGGTCAAACATGTGCAAGGAAACCTCCTGCTGTTACTATTTACTGCACACCCCTGCTCCCGGCTTGGTTGATGAGCTAGTACTCCTCCTTGTTCAACACCTTTTGGAAGAAACACGGAGGGTAACAAGGGCATAAAATGTAATCTGGATAGATGACTTAAATATCCATCACCAAGAGTGGCTTGGCAGCACCTCTACTATATGACCTTGTTGCTAGACCAGCAGTCTGTAGTCAGTGGTGAAGTCAAGAGAGTTGAAGCAGTCCAAACCAAATGCAGCAACTCCTGGACAGTATCCAGGCCAGTTCTGAAAAGTGGCAAGTAACACTCCACACACAAGTGTCATATCCCTGGACATTCAAAGTTGCTACCATCATGGAGTCCCACACCACTAATACCCTGCGAGTTACCATGGAACAGAGAGTGAGCTGGACTAGCCATATAAATATCCCGTCTACAAGATAACTTCAGAAGCTAGGAAGTATGCAGTGAGTAACCTATCTCCTAACTCCTCAAAGATCATAAGAACTAGGAGCAGGAGTAGACAATTCAGTCTCGGGCCTGTTCCTCCATTTAATATAATTATGGTTGACCTCATCTTGGTCTTAACTCCACTGTCCTACCTCCTCTCCATAACTTTTCAACCCATTGCTAATTAAAAATCTGTCTGTCTCTTCCTTAAATGTACTCAATGTCCTGACATCCACCACACTCTGGGTTGTGAATTCCACAAATTCAAGGCTCTTTTGAGGGAAGTAAGTTCTCCTCATCTGTTTTAAATCTGCTATCCCTTTGTCCTAAAACTGTGACCTCATGTTCCAGAATGCCCCACATGAGGAAACCTCCTCTCTACATCTACTTTGTCAATTCTCTTTACTATTTTATATACCTCAAGTAGATCCCATCTCATTCTTCTTAACTCCAGAGAGTAAAGGCATAAACTGCTTAATATCTCTTCATAAGAAAAACTCCTCACCTTTAAAATCAGCAAGACAAACCTATCAGAGGTGGTAGCACAGTAGTATACAGTCAGGAGGAGTTGCCCTGGGAGTTCTCAAAATTGACTCCAGACCTTATCAAGTCTCATGACATCAGGTCAAACATGTGCAAGGAAACCTCCTGCTGCTACTATTTACCGCACACCCCTGCTCCCGGCTTAGTTGATGAGCTAGTACTCCTCCATGCAAACCTCCTCTGAAATGTTTCCAATGCAACTACATCCCTCTTCAATTACGGGGACTAAAACTGTATGCAATATTCCAGGTGTGGTCTCAGTAATGCCATGTACTGTTGCAGCAACACTTCCCTACTTTTAAACTCTGTTCATTTAGTAATAAATGCCAAAACTCCATTTGCCTTCTTTATTATACGATATGTATACTAGTTTTCTGCGGTTCATGCACAAAGACACCCAGATCCATCTGTACTAAAGCACTCTGAAGTTTATCTCCAATTGCTAAAAAGTTGCCTTTCTATTTCCTGGCTGAAATGGATAACCTCACACTTATCCACATTAAACTTCATTTGTCATATCTTGGCCTATAACTTATCCATAAACATTTGTAAATTTATTTCTTCATTGCAACTTACTTTCCCACCTATTTTAGTGTCATTCTGCAAATCTGGGTAACTTCTACCCCTGCATCCAAGTCGTTAATTGATTGTGAATAGTTGAGTCCTGAGGACTGAACACTGTAGCACCGCACCAGTTATATCTTGCCAACCAGCAAAGGACCCATTTATCTCAACTCTCTGCTTTCTATTGGTTTGCCAATCCTCTATCCAAGCTAATATATTTCCCCCCTGCCCGAACTGATCTTATCTTGTGTAATAACCATTTGCGTGGAACCTTATCAAATGACTTCAGGAAGTCCAGATAAACCACAACTGTAGGATCCGGATTATCCTCCTTGATTTTTATATCTTTGAAAAACTCGAGCAAATTAGTCAAACATGATTTACCCTTCAAAAAATTATGTTGACTCTGATGAATAGCATTTTGACTGTTCAAATGTCATGTTACTGGATCTACCTTTATCTGCTGTCACTTCTTAGAAGACCCTAGAATGTAGACTTGTCGGCCTTCAAAGCTAATAGTTTGCTCAGTACGTTTTCCCTAGTGATGATGATTGCTTTAAATTCCTCCCCTTCTATGCTGAAAGCCAATCCACTATCTACAAGGCACAAATCAGGCATGTGATGGCATACTTGGAGACAGAAAGGACTGCAAATGCTGGAAGCTAGAGTCAAAATAAGTGAAGCTAGAAAAGCACAGCAGATCAGACAGCATCTCAGCAGTCAATATTTCAGGTCGGAATCTATACTCCCCACTTGCCTGGATGAATGCAGCTTCAAAAACACAGTCAAGACACTTGACACTATCTGGGCCAAAGCATCCCTCTTGATTGGCACCATATCCACAAACATTCACTCCCTCCACCAATAGCGTACAAGATGTACTGCAGAAATTCACCAATGATCCTTAGACAACACCTTCTGAACCCATGACCACTCCCACCTAGATAGATGAGGCCAGCAAATACATCAGAGTACCACCTCTCCATGGAAGCAAGTTCCCCTCCAAGCTACTCATCGTTCTGATGGAAAATATATTGGCGTTCCTTCAGTGTTAGAATCAAAGTTTTGGAATTCTGTTCCTAACAGTGGTGTGTGTATGCTTACACCAAATGGACTGCAGCAGTTCAAAAAGGAAACTCACCATCTTCTCAAGAGCAACTGGGGTTGGGCAATAAATGCTGCCCAGCCTGCAAAACCCAGCATGAATGAACAAAAAAAAATTAAAAGTTTACAAAGTATGCTGAAAACTAATAAAAAAGTCATGGAGTGTAATGGAATTTACAAAATTGCAAAATATTTCATGAATATTTACCTTTCTGAATAGACATGAATTCCTCTTGAATAGTATTGGTGAAAGAGGAGATTGCTTTTAAGGATGACAACAGCATATGTTATTAAACAGGAACAAACCTTCTGATTAGTCAATATATCTAAACCTAGAGTAAAATCTCAGTAAGTCAAATTGCACAGGAATCCCAACAAAATTTGTGATATGCAAGGTGGCCTTGGAGTTGTAGCCATTATGAATTTTCAGCTGACAACAGTAAAAGCAAATGGTGAATTAGAATACCAATCTTGTGTGATAATATTCTGAGTATTTCAGGATACGTTATAAGCTGAAAACAAAGTTAGAAAGACTCAGCATTTCCCAATGAAACTCTGATACTGTACATTGCTCAATCATTTTCTCCACTGACAGCTTCTAGGCCAATACTTGGATAGGTTTCACATTTAAAAGAAATCAGTATCTTGGCAGTCATCAGCAGATAAAGTGAATGGTGCACGTATAGTATCAGAGTTTTTTGCGAACTGTTCCGAATTATTCTGCCTTTTCCTTTTAAGTCTGGAATCTGTCCAAGAGGAGCTTTTTGTCTTAGTGTTCAATAGCAAGTGTTTAACAAGCAGCTCATCCAATATTACCTTTTTCCAGGTTGGCTAATCTGGACAAGCCTAATGTGAAAGTTTGATTTCTAACAGGTATTATTTGATAGGATTTGTCATTCTCCTTTTGGAATTGGCTGATTTTCTCAATACGCCCACAATCTTGAGGAATTTGACTTTAACCGATCATGACTTCAATGTAAATATATTCCCTGCCAATTTCAATGGCAAGGCACAAAAGGCAATTATAACAATTGAGCAGATTACATGGCCCCATTACAGAGGCACACAAGCCACTTTTTCTCCACAATAAAAGTCTGTAACACATACCTTGTACAACTTTGTATGTTAAACCCGTTGGTATACAATTATAATTACTGGTGATTAGTTTGAGGTGAGTTGGAACCTGTAGGGATCAAGGCTCAGCATCCAGCACAAAACATTTTTCAAGGGTTTCTGGTTGACCTTACACTAAAATAGTATTCACAAACTTAAATTCTGCTCCTTCCCAGAGTGCAGAGTACTTCAACAAGATGACATTTACATAAATGTGTTACAGACTTGACTGATTTTTTTCATTATTTTTATTATTTTATCAATTTTGGCTTGTAGCTGTGCATTGAGAGTTAGAGATGACTAGATTGTGGGTAATGGTTGTGTTAAAAGGAAACAGACCAAATAAAACTTTTGCTTATTTGTGAGGCCAGGTTTGGAAGTTAATTGCATGTTGGTTACTGACCAAAAGGTTCTGCAGGCACTTCATCACCGAGGAAGAGCATTAAACAGATAGAAAAGCTGGTTAATAATGAGGTCAGTGCCTGAAAATTGGTTCCAGCAAGACTAGAAAAGACCTCATGCTCAAGCAGATGGCAGATATTGAATGGTAACTGGGACCTCATGGAGGAACCAATCAGTCTGCTGGGGAATGGTCAAGGTTTGATTTGGATTTTAGATTGTGTTTTCTGTGAAAAGGCAGCTGACTGTTCATGCCACAGCCTGAAGACTTGAAAGCTCCTTGCCTAACCTCCCAGGGACAGCTCGTGGAAGTTCTTAGAATAGGAGACTAAGTTTTAAGTATTATTGTGTTTATATAAGTGAACAGTAGGTGTGACCCTGATCAAGATCGTTTGAAAGTCAAACAAGGAACCATCATCTATGCTTGTGGACCAATGCACAATGGAAATATTTAAGTAGTCTGGCCAGTTTTTGTTACTTTATTTATCCTCCAACTGTGCTTGTTTGTCTGTTTATCTTTTGTATGAATGGCGCTGAAAGTAAAAGTTTTTAGTTTTTAAGCAAAAACTGGTTACATTACTTTGTTTAATTTTGCTTTACTAGAGTTATTGTGTTGTTAATAAATTGCTAAGTCTTTTGTTTAACATACAAATTGGTGTCAAGAATTGATTGTTTGCAAACTGTGGGATTGGTTATTAAGAAGTCTGGTTAGGATCCATTGAGGTCAACTTTGAGGGTTCTTGAGGGTTTTAATTTTATTGTGTTGCGAATATTGAGGTAGAAAGGCTGATGTGGTTTGTCTGCCTGTCTCCATGTCCTAACGTAATTGAGGACTTGAGTCTTGGATCTTGAAATGCAGACAATGCATGTCTGGAACTGAATTTTGGTGCTTAAATGGGTAATCAGACATTATGTTTGTACTCAGACTTAAGGTGACACTGGAAATTGTTAAGGAATTTTTGAAAGTGTTAGAAGTTACCCTGATATAGTTACAAGGAACAGCTAAAGTTAATTTAGCAGAATTAGCGAGCACACTGGACATAAAGTTGCCAGAGCAAACTAAGAAGGCAGACATTATAGATTTAATAATGACACAGCTAAATTTAGTGGATGAAGAGAGAGGTCAGGTGGTAGAGGTAGTAGATCAGATGCATCAATGAAACTTGAGTTGCAGTTCAGGCAAATGGAAATGAGAACATTTGAGATGGAATTCCAAAGGAAGTTAATTCCGAAGGGCAGAAAAAGTAAAAGTAAGGGAGGTAAGAGAAAAAGAAAGGGACAATGGGAATGGGAACTTAAAATTAAAAATGACACAGTTTAGACAAGTTAAACTAAAGGCTTGATAAGACTTGGAAATTTCTAGTCCCAATACATTGTTAAGTCAGGAGATGGTTAAGGTGGTGTGGGCTTTCCAAAATTTGAAAAAAAGGCTGTGGAAGCATTTTTCTTGTCGTTTCAGAAGATGGCACAAATGAAGTGCCCAAAGCATATTAGCACTTGCCCATGCAAAGTAAATTACCTGTAAAGCACAAGAGATTTACACATCCCTGTTGGAGGAACATTCTAGGGATTATCATGAGGTGAAAAAGGCTATTCTAAGCGCTTATTAGTTGGTTTCAGAAGCATACAAGCAGAGGTTTTGGAACTTATAGAAGCAGACTGGACAAATTTATATTGAGTTTGAAAGAGTTAAACAAAATAATTTTGATATGTGCAGTTGACAAGCATAACAACTGACATAAGGTAATGTTAGAATCTATTAAAAAAGGTTGAGATAACAGGGCATTTAGATCATAATATAGCAGCAAATTATTGCAGATGCTGGAATCTTAACAGAGTACAAAATGCGCTGGAAATCACAGTGGGTCAGGCAGCATCCATGAAGAGAGAACCAGTTAACACTTTGAATCATCTAGACTTGAAACGTTAGCATGCTCTCGCTCCACAGATGCTGCCTGACCTGCTGTGACTTCTGGCATTTTTTTGTTCTCATTCAGAACATAATGGTAGGACTGGGGAGAGTTAATGGGGAAATAAAAGGGCAATCGTGTTTATCAAAAATTTGATATTTTTTGAGCAGAATAGGTAAAGGGAAACAATGGATATGATATATTTAGATATTCAGAAACTTTTAGGTGAGATCCCATGTTTGAGATTAGTAAATTAAAGTTGAGAACATGGGATTGAGGTTTGGTTTGAGAACTGATTACTGGCTAGAAAGCAGTCGTTTTCAGGTTGACAGGCTGTAATTAGTGGAGAATACATTCAATGACCACAAAGAGACTGGATAAATGACAATTATGAGATCAGAACTACAGTGAAATTGAGAATGATTCCAAACAATTGGATCAAAATAGCTTTAGACAGAAAGTTCTCAGGTTGTCTCAAAATATAACAACTAATTTAAAAATTAAAACCAAATTTTCTTTCAAATGCTGCTACTGAAATTATTTTCTTGAGCAGAATAATATACTAAGTAAATGTGAACTGTGTTTGGAGACAATAATGCTCTTCAATGTCCATCCAGTTGCATTCAAAGGATAAAGTAATGATTCATTGAATATGATCACATTGACCAGAAAAGGGAGAGAATGCCTATTCATGGCATACGTTCAAAGCACTAATATATGCATAGATTTTTACATACCTTTGAGCTTCTGACAAGGATCTGGTGTTTCAGTACAAGAATTGTCTTCTGAAATGTATTTCAAAAGTAATAAAAATAGCTTCAAGTTCAGGTATGGTAACATAATGGTAATATTTCCTATGTGCATTTTTGTTCAGTTTCTCAACAATATTGTGAGCAAAAATAAAAATTACTTGCATTGATTAGTGTGGACAATTACATTAAACGATTCTAACTACCAATGGTTATAATAAGATTGGGGTGCGTTTAAGTAGGGCAGAATGATGCAGAACTGTTTCTTGATTGGCTGAGCTCTGTACTTTTAAGCTATACTTTCCTAATAATCTTCACACATCTCTACATACTACTCCCAAATTTCAATCAATCAGTCTGTACTGGTTGCTATTGCCTATCAATGTGTTATTACTTCCCTCATGTCCCATACCTCTGCAACTTGTCATACAACTTTCACACTAGACTCATCCTAGATTCTTCAAATCATCTTCTAGGCCAGCACAATTCCTTCTGTTCTTGTAGTACAAATTGGCACATAACATCCCTCCCAAGATAAATTTGATGGCAATGGGAAGCATATAATTGGGAAGGTAGGGATTCTACTGTCTTCCCGCCTCTGTTCTGACTAAGACATTCTTCTGGGGAAGACTGAACAGCCAGAGGAGATGGACCATATTGATATGAACAACATAATTAGGAAGAGGGATAAAATTCTGAAAGCATATTTTAGACAGCTAGGGAAGATATTAAAATGGAAGACTTCAAAAACACATTCTAAGGAGTATTTGTAGTGCCTTGAGTTAGTGAATACAAGTGTAGGAGGATCAAACAACAGAACATGTGGTTGGAGAACTGGCAAGACGGAGGGCAGCAGAGTTTTGAGGGATTGGGTCTGGTTCTTGGGTAGGTGAGACTTTTACGAGATGTACAATGCTGGGCACACTATAACTCAGGAAATTAGAGGTGCACGCAACATGGGTAATATTATAATAATGGACAACTTCAATTTACGCACAGACTGTGTAAACCCAATCAACACTAATTGAGGATGATTCCTAGAGTGTGTACAAGATGAATCTCTGGGGCAGTAAGCTGAAGAAGCAAATACAGATTGGACCAGTTCAGATTTATTATAATCCAACGAGAAACACCTAATTAATAGGTTGCTGTGAAGGAGCCTTTGGGAACTGGTGACTATAATAGGTGCAGAGGTAGTATCTTTTTATTTTTCTATGTTTTTGATTTTGGACTGAAATGGGTAAAGAACTGCTTTGAAAAGGATTGTTGAATGATTGCTGAAGCAGGGATTCCGTGCTTAGTGGAAGTGGACATGGTGTGTACACATAACCAAACACGGACATATGCAGACTGACATTGTTGGGAGACACCTCCGTCCACAACTTCATACGTTACTTTTACATGCAACACAGAAGTCAAGTCCATTTGCACAGATGATATGCACAAAACTAGAGATCACACTCAAACTTACATCAGAAGCAATTGAAAAGCCTATAGAGTACCTTGTAGGTAAAGAAGGCCCCAAAGGATTTCCCTAGAATCATAGAAGCCCTACAGCATAGAGACAGGCCATTTGGCGCACCGAGTCCACACTGACCATCTGAAGAGCATCCCGACTAGACCCACTCTGTAACCCAGCATTTCCCCATGACTAATCTACCTAGCCTGCACATCCTGGACATTACAGGCAATTTAGCATGGCCAATCCATGCAACCTGCACATCTTTGGACTGTGGGAGGAAACCGAAGCACCCAGAGGAAATCCACTGGGCAGGCATGGGGAGAATGTGATGTCTGGATACCAACCACGGGTGGTTTGTGTTGGGACAGAGTGTTGACACCAATTCTCCTTCCCTTGTTAGTCTAAGGGGCTATCCAGTAGTTTGGAATGGAAGGTGAACAAGAATAAGTCTTAGCAGAAGAGGCACTTGTTCTTAATAGGAAGTTGAGGCTTATTAAATAAAAGTAGCTATACACAGGTTACATTAATTCTTCAGTATGTTAACTATTACTAACAAGATGTAGGTGAGACGTGTGTGCCTCCTTTAGGAGACTGCACCGAAGTCTAACTAACTCCAAACTGCTGTCTGCCTGAACTGCCCAATCTCTATCCAGCAGCTTTGTTACCTTTCAGACAAAGTGGAAATTTACAGATTATAGCCAATAGATTAACTCTTTCCTGCCCATTACCCATTACAACACCCCCCAACATTTTCCCCTTAAATAACCCATCATACATCATTCACAAAAATGTAATACATTTATATTACCACCATTTTTTCTCCCTCCACATCTCTGACTTTGTTAAATGTTCAGAGTATTTGAATTTATGATGTGTTCATTTGACTTGGAAAATGTGCAGGACATTGGTTGAGGATGGTTGTTGATTCTAGTTTTGCTTTTCACCCTTATTATACTGGAAGATCCATAAATCTTTTTCACAAAAGTTGTAGATTGTAAATGTTTCTGTCAGTCTTATATCTTGTCTGGAGGACCTTTACTCTTTGAAAGAAGTGGTTTATTTTTGCCTCTGTAGTAGACTTGCAACATCCCTTTCCCCTTAGAGGTTGCTCTGCCTGTCCCATGTAAGTCTAGATCTGTAGACTATAGCTGTATTATTTTCAACCATGAAATTTTGTCAGATAATAATGTAAATGAAAAGTAAGGGACAGTATGTGTGAACATCATATTGCACCAAGGAATCATAGAAATGTGAGGAAATTTGACAATAGAATAATGTACAAGTACTGTATCTTAATGCACAAAGCATTTGGAATGAAATTTATTTTTTAACACTGCAAGTAGAGATGAATGGATGTGATTTGGTGGGAATTACTGAGATGTGGTTGCAGGGACACCAGATTTTGAAGTTGGATATCCAAGGGTACTCAGAGTTTTTGCAGGAATAGGCAGGAAGGAAAAGATGGTGCATAGCTTTGTTAGAAATGAAAGAAATGGATATCAAAATTTAGAATCGATTTGGGTAAATAAGAAATTGCAATGGAAAGAGGTCCCTAGTGGGAGTAATCTATATCTCTCCAACAATGGTTCCACAGTGGGGAGCAGTATAAACTAGGAAATATTGTGTGCTTGTAAGAAATAACTTAGGAACATAAAAAAAAATAGGAGCAGGGTAGGCTATCTGGCCTCTCGAGCCTGCTTCACCATTCAATAAAGTCATGGCTGATCTTTTTCATGGAGTCAGCTCTACTTACCTGCTTGCCCACTATAACATTTAATTCCTTTACTGTTCCAAAATCTATCTTTGCCTTAAAAACATTCAATGAGGTAGCCTCAACTACTTCATTGCGCAGGGAATTCCACAGATTCACAAATCTTTTGGAGAAGTTCCTCCTCAGCTCAGTCCTAAATCTGTTCCCCCTTATTGTGAGGCTATGCCCCCCATATTTCTGGTGTCACCCCACCAGTAGAAACAACCTTCCTACTTTTATCTAATCTATTCCTTTCATAATTATATATGTTTCTATAAGATACACCTTATTTTTCTAAATTCCAATGAGTATAATCACAATCTGCTCAATCTTTCTTCATAAGCCAACCCTCTCAACTCCAGAATCAACCTAGTGAACCTCTCTGCCAGTGCCAGTACTTCCTTTCTCAAGTAAGGAAACCAAAACTGTACACAGAACTCCAGGCATGGCCTCAGCAGCACCCTCTACAGCTGCAGCATAAGCTCCTTATTTTTAAAATCCATCCTTCTAACACGAAGGGCAATCTTTCATTTTCATTCTTCATTACCTGCTGCACTTGCAAACCAACTTTGTGATTCATAAGCAAGGACACCTGGGTTCCTCTGCACAGCAGCATGCTGTAATTTTTCACCATTTAAATAATATCCCACTTTGTGTTATTCTTACCAAAATGGATGACCTCACATTTACCAACATTGTCCTCTGTCTGCCAGTCCTTTGCCCACACATTTAATCTATCTATATCCCTCAGGAGATTTTCAGTGCCTCCTTCACACTTTGCTCTACCACTCATATTAGTGTCATCTGCGAACTTTGACACACTATACTTGGTCCAACTCCAAATCATCTAAGTAAATTGTAAACAATTGCAGTCCCAACACTGATCCCTGAGGTACACCACTAGCCACAGATCTTCAACCAGAAAAAAAATCCACTTATCCCTATTCTTTGCTTTCTGTTAGTTAACCAATTCTCTGTCCATGCTAACACATCACCCGTAACACAATGCATCTTTATATTATGCAGCAGCCTTTTGTGCATTACCTTGTTGAATGCCTTCGGGAAATCCAAATACACCACATCCACTGCTTCAACGTTGTCTACCACACTCGTAATAAATGCAAGGTACTACATTTTGGTACAACAAACAAGGGTAGGGCTTATACAATTAATGGTAGGGCCTTGGGTAGAGTTGTAGAAGAGAGACCTAGGGGTTCAGGTATGTAATTCTTTGAAGTTTGTGACACATGTAGACAGGGTGGTTAAAAAGGCGTTTGGCACGCTTGCCATCATTGCTCAGTCCTTAGAGTATAGAGTTGGGAAGTCATGTTGAGGTTGTACAGGATATTGGTGAAGCCTCTTCTGGAATACCATTTCCTGTTCTGATTGCCCAGTTATAAGAAGGATATTATTAAGCTGGAGAGGATTCAGAAGAGAGTTACCAAGATGTTGCTGGGTATGGAATGTTTGAGTTATAAAGTAAGACTGGACAGGCTGGGATATTTTTCACCAGAGTGTAGGAGGTTGAGAAGCAACCTTATTTAAGTTAATAAAATAATGAGGGGTATAGATGGAGTTAATGGTAGTTGGCTTTTCCCTGGAATGGGGGATTTCAAGACTTGGGGCACATTTTTAAGGAGAGAGGAGAGAGATTTAAAAAAGACATGAGGGGCAAATTTTTTACACATGTGGAATGAACTTCCTGAGAAAGGGTGGACATGGATACAATTACAACATTTAAAAGACATTTGGATAAGTACATGAACAGGAAAGGTTTGGAGGGATATGGGCCAGGAGTGGGCAGGAGGGACTAGTTTAGTTTGGGATTATGTTCGGTATGGATTGGTTGGACCAATGGGTCTGTTTCTATGCTATGACTCTACGGTCTGCCCTTCACAAACCCATGCTGCATCTGCTAATGGGACAATTTCTTTCCAGATGTCTTGCTATTTCTTCCTTAATGATAGATTCAAGCATTTTCCCCACTACAGAAGTTGAGCTAATGGGCCTATAGTTACCCATATTTTGTCCACCTTGTTTTTTAAACAGTGACATCACATTTGCTGTTTTCCAATCTGCTGGAATCACCCTGGAGTCCAGAGAATTTTGGTAAATTACTATGAACACGTTTGCTATTTCCCCGCCATCACTTTTAGTACTCTGGGATGCATTCCATCAGGGCCAGGAGACTTGTCCACCTTTAGCGCCAGTAGCTTGCCCAACACTACCTCTTTGGTGATAATGGCATTTTCTAGGTCCTCAGTTGCCATTGCCTCCTTGTCATCAATTATTAGCATGTTATTTGTGTCTTCCACTGTGAAGACCGATAAAAAATAATAATCATGGGTGCTTCTAGTTCTTATGTTTTGTCCCTGTTTACACATAATTAGGTTGATTAGAATATAAAGATTGACTATTGATGACAAATTTTTAACCATTAGCATAGACACATTTTTAATTACCTTCTCGTTCACGGCACATTTCAGGGTCTGATCTTCTAGCTCTAGACCTGGAACTATCTTTTCTATCTAAGTTTCAGAAGTGCAATTAGCATTGAGAAAGGCAAAAATATCTTTCTCCACTCTTAGTGATGTTCAGGTTTTTTAAAATTCGTCTCAACAACAGCAACATCAATTACTTATTTTGATTTGGGCGAATAATGGGTGGATTTTCAATGCCTAATATTTGCCCATTAAACATAGGATGGAATCAATGGGAATTAAAATGAAATTATTCTTTAGCAAATTATCCCATCCACAGCACCAGTTTTGCATTGAAAATGTATTCCAAATGTTGTACTCCAAAGTTTCCAATTCTTAGAAAAAATATTTGGTTTGATCTTGAATAATCGTGTGAATGGTTGAAAGCAGTTTACATGTGAATACTTAAGCGAAGCAAGCACAATAAACTCTCTTAATTAGATTAAGGCCATTTACATCCATCGTTCTATTTGTCTGTTCAACTGATTGGGAAGTGCTGCCTTCGGGTAGGCAAAGACTTTCTTCTTGACTGACAGTTCCACATTCCCCTTCGTCTACCTTTACTTACAACTACCTTACTGCCCTCCATCTTCACCTGCTGTCAATGTTACATTCTGTAACTCCTCCAGTTGCATTACATATTACTTTTCTCATGTCCCTGTATCATTAAAATTTGTCACATATTCACAGTCCACTAATCCTAGATGAAGATCTTCAAATCATCTGCCATGCCTAGCACAAACACATTTCCTCCTTCTCATTGCACAAAATATATTGGCACACAATATAAGAGATAGTAGGAACTGCAGATGCTGGAGAATCTGAGATAACAAGGTGTAGAGCTGGATGAACACAGCAGGTCAAGCAGCATCAGAGGAGCAGGAAGGCTGACGTTTCGGGCCTAGACCCTTCTTCAGAAGGCTCCTATGATGCTGCTTGGCCTGCTGTGTTCATCCAGCTCTACACCTTGTTATCTCTGTTGGCACACAATATGGTGGCTGAAGAACAGCATAAGATTCTCATCAGGGCCCACTGAGAGAACAGTTGCTTGTCATTGTGAGTAGCAGAACAGAAATTAACAAAGATTTAGATCCACAGATGTTCTATAGAGCTTATCCTCATTCCCATTTTCACTGTTATTTCTCCCCATGCACCTTGCATTACAAAGTAATGCTTTGTCAGCAGCCACTCCTTTGCAGGATAGATCGTACCACTCTCTCATGTCTTTTCAGTGGCACGTATAAAAGAAAAAATGGTGTTCCCCCTTGCACATTATTACATTTAGGGAGTTGGTTAGCTTTGTTGACTGGATGGCTGGTTTGTAATACAGAGGAATACTAACAGCATGGTTCACTTGCCACACCTACTAGGGTTACCATGAAGGATTCTCCTTCTCAACCTATCCACTCACCTGAGGTGACATGAACCTCAGGTTAAACTATCACTAGTCATCTCTCTCGACTGATAAGACTGGCGAAATTTACCTTTCTACTTTATTACATTGACTAGAAACAGAGAAATGACTTAATAATGACACATAATTTAAAACAATAATGTTTGGATCAGTCCCCAGGCATGGATCCCAATTTCTCATTATACCTGATGGGATCTCCACAAATGTTTATGCTTCCAGGTAAAGACTGATGAACTGGCTCTCCTTATTTGTTCAATCTCTCCCTCTGATGGTCACAGCAAAGCTAATTTAAAAAGGATCCCTTCCTTTGTGGATACCTTTTCTTAGCCCAAATGTTTTTATGTATTCAAAGGAGCCAATTTAACCAGGCTTTCTTGAGTTAAGAGATGGCTGAGTTTATTTGTTCCTAAAATGCAAGTAAAGATAATAACCATGACATACATATACAGAAGTGAGACCTAAGTCCAAATACAAAAAGCGAAAAAAAAAATGCTGATCACTCTTTGTCCATGATGAATAGATTGTGAAACACAGGGGCCATTAAGGTGGGCAATTCTGGCAGCAGATTCTGACTTTGGTAGTGTGGAGATTCTTGATTCTGCATTTATCTGTAAGGAACTATTCAGCTTCCTTTTACAATGACTTTTCTAACTTGACTTATTTCCAACAGAGAGAAACTATTTATTTTTACTGGCACAGACATGGGACTTGTGGAACTTCTAGGCTATTTTCCTGTACAGTATATCTTAGCGCAGTGGAACAGGAATCTCAAGCTCGCCCACTGGCACTCCAGCAAATAGAAACTAAGGTTTTAATTCATTTTCTCATGTGTTCCTGAAAGGTTAAACCATATCTTTCTAAGGACTGCCTTTCTTTCAACTCTTATCATTTCTGCAGTGTGGGACAAAAAAGTTTCTTCTGAGAGGAGTAATTATTCCCTAATTATCTCTACAGCTATGGGAAAAATCACAGTTCAGTTTATTTGAATGACAACCTCCTTTTAAAATGTTGTTATCTGAAGTTCTCTGCGATTAGATTGCAAAGGTCTCTGACTTTCTTAGGTGTGATATTCCATCCTTCCTCTTGTGATTCTGTATAATCTACAATAGGGATGTTTCAGGCAGCCACTGAATTTATATTCTCAGCCATCTATTGATGTGCAAGACACTTTTTTTAAACTAATGTTTTACTTAAAAATCCAATACATCGGTAAAATATCTGGACTTATGGTCCATTGTCATGACAACATGTACACACATTTTCATTTACCTTCTGGTTCATGACTCCTTTCAGGATCTGATCTTCTAGCTCTAGACCTGGAAGAATCTTTACTATCTGAAGTTCATTTCAGAAAAAGTGTAATTAGTATTGAGTAAGGCACAAAGTAGCTTTCCCACTTACATTATTCAGTTTTTCAATACATTTCTAAAACTGCAAATAACAGTAACAGTTGTCAACCTGCCACTAAGGATAAAACTAACAATGCCAATTGGTTTCACATTAAACAAATGATAGAATCAATGGAAATAAAAACAATATGTTTTAGAACAATTACCTTATCAGAAATGCCATTTTAGCATGAAAGTCTTTTCCAGTGCTACAAAAATAATTTTCCATCTCTCGGAAAATACTTTCTTTTGATCCTAAATAGGTGTGTAAACAGCAGAATGCAGTTTACACATGAGGTGGCACAAAAAGTGCTCTAATGGCACAGTGATAATGTTCCTATCTCGGCACCAGGAGGCCAAGTTCAAATCCCACCTCTCCTGAAGTGTCACACAACACCAGGTTATAGTCCAATCGGTTTATTTGAAATCCCAAGCTTGCAGAATGCTGCTCCTTCAACAGGTTCACCTGACAAAGGAGCAGTGCTCCAAAAGCTTGTAATTTCAAATAAACATGTTGGACTATAACCTAGCGTCATATGACTTCTGATTTTGTCCACCCCAATCCAACACTGGCACCTCTACTCCGGTATTATATAACAACTCTGAACTGGTTGATTAAAAGTATCTTCAGTGGAGCAAAGACCACATCCTATCTTAATAGAATAAAAGGGCCAACTGCTATCTGTTTCCAGGTTTTAATTTGGGTGCTCAACTGATTGGGAAGCACTGAGTTGGCAGAAGGAAAGATATTCTTCTTGATTGAGGCAGCTTCACACATTCATGACTTTGCTAAGTAATTTAACTGTTCCAAACTAGATGTAAGTGACTTTCCAGGGTGTGCACTCTCCTGAATACTGGCCTACAAGTTCTCTTACTCAATTTGGATTCTTCTGTTCTCTTGTGTCTGCACACTGCAGCAACTACAATGGCTTGCTGGCCTGGATCCTGAAGAAAATGTTAACTGTTTGGCCAAGGCTCAGCCTTGTTTTGGGGTTTTGCTGTGGGCTGACATAGAGTTCTTCTATTCATGATATGCCCTGATTGAGGATATGCAATTCAAGTGGTGTTCCCAAACTCAGTCTCACTGGAAAGATGTCCACTTCCATTTGGAATATCCTGCAAATTATGCACTCCACCTGCAGCATTTTCCAATGATAAAGCCTGTTGTAGTGCCTGTTTGAAGTCCAGTTGGGCTTCAGCGAGTAGGCACTTTCACATCGTTACATCATTTATCCCACAAACCAAAACGGTCTCTCCGCATCTTATTAAGAGTTAAACCAAAGTTACAGGTCTCTGCAAAAACAAAAAACAAAAGAACTGTGGATGCTATAAATCAGGAACAAAACCAAAGTTGCTAGAAAAGCTCAGCAGGTCTGGCAGCATCTGTGAAGGAGAAAACAGAGTTAATGTTTTGGGTCTGGTGATCCTTCCTCAGAACTGGTGAACCTTCCCCGGAAAGGTCACCGGTCACCCCAATTCTGAGGAAGGGTCACCGGTCTCTGCCAGTTGTCTTAACCTCATCAAAAATCCTTATATAGATTCCGCTAGTTCTCAAATTGCTGAGTAAAACCGATAGCACCTCAAATTTAGAGGGGGCTTGGGGTTGTAATATTCCTTAACTAAATCCATCAATTTTTGAAAGGTTTTTGTATTGCGTGTCTCCGGGAAAGTTAAGCTCCTAATAACTGAAAATGCTGTGGGTCCACAAGCAGTCAGGAGAATTACTCATTGCTTTTCATCTACTCCAATGTCTTGGCCCGGAAAGAATAATGCGTTCTTTCCACATACTGGGCCCTGTCTTCAACAGCAGGATCAAATGAGCCAAACTTCCCAAGCACATTACCAGAAATGCTTACCCCCAAAGCAAAGTCTACTGTGGCGAGTGAATTTCTTCAGGAGTGTACGTTGCTCTCGTTGTCACTGAAATAACTCCACAGAGGCTGGTATCCTGTCACCAAGTCACCCTTTATTGACATGTAGAGAGTTCTTGAAACTGATCCAGCTCTCTGAGTCAACAGGATGTTTCTCACTGCTGGTCTTATCTGTCAGCCAGGTCTCCCTGATTGGACCACATTAATTACCCTAATCAGGGAACTCATATTCTATGAGGTCCATCTGGCTGACCTCATTACAATCACTACTATAGGCATTCTACAGACCTTATCCTCATTCCCTTACTTACTGCTACCTTTTCCTACACATATTGCATTACAAAGTACAGCTGTTTCGATCACCCATTCTTTTGGAGGACAAATAGTACTGCCCTAAAATGTCAAGTAGCACATTTAAAGGGTACAGAGCTATGCCTCTATGCATACAATTTATATATTCAGGCAAATAGAGGGATTTCATACCAATGATTTAAGCCACTAACATTGTTATAGTCAGTTCCTGTCTGAGATTCCTCAATTTGTTACCATTTCTGGATGGGTTAGCACAAAATGTTTATGCTCCCAGGTGAGATTGGATAAACTGGCTCCCCTTATTTGTTGAATGCCTCCCTCAATTAGTCAGAAAAAAAATTAATTAAAAGGGATACCTTTTCCAAGCCCAAACATCTTTATGCTTTAAAAGGAGTCAAATTAAACAGGTATTTTTGAGTTAAAGAAAGAGTGGCTTTATTAGCTACGAGAACAGGAGAAAAAGATAATAAAATATAACATGCATGCATAGATTAGAAATGAGAGCTGAGTCTAAAAATTAAAAGTTATAAAGAAAACACAAATCAATCTTTGGTTTGTTCCTAATGAATAGATTGTGCAATAATTATGACTGCGTTGTAGTTGTTTCGAGATTCTTGCTTCAGCATTTAGTTGGGTTATCCAATTTACTTCGAGTAACTTTGCTGATTTTACTTGTCAGCAGGAATCAGAGAGAAAGAGAGTTTATTTTGTTTTATGTGCCCAAAAATGGATGTCCATTGGATGTTCTCAGTTGCGTCCCTACACAGTGCCGTTTAGCACAAATCCCAAGCTTGTACACTGCATATCAGCACTCTCATAGAGTGAAACTAGGAGTTGCTGTTGGTTTATAACCCATTTTCTTATACATTCCTGGAAGAGTAAAACACAAACTTATAGTTTGATCAGAACTCATATCCTGAGCACAGTCTGGGACATACACCACAGTTCTCTGCTGAGAAGAATATTTAGTCCCTCATGATATGGTAGCAAAAGGAGATCACAGTTCTTTTATTTTTGAATGGCATCTCTCCTTTTAGAATGTTACTCTCCACGATCACCTTGACACACCTCAGGCATGATATCCTGTGCTTTCTCTCAGGATTCATTATTATTTATTCAGCAATGTTCTAGACTGTCACTTAATTTATAGGCTCAGTCATTTTTTGTCTTGAATATCTTTTTTCGGAAAAAAAACTTGCTCTACTTAAAAGTCCAAGATATCCCAAAGTAATTTTGGGTTAGAATCTGTTGTTACTTGTGGCCACACAGCAACTCTGAGAGTCACGCACACAGATCGTAAATCTGTGCAGCACCTCAAGAAATTAAAGGAAACATCGATCATGACAACATGTACATATACTTTTGGTTACCTTCTGGTTCATGACACTTTTCAGGATCTGATCTTCTATCTCTAGATCTGGGAGAATCTTTTCTATCTGAAATTTGTTTCAGAAAATGTTTAATTAGAATTGAGTAAGACATGAAGTAGCTTTCAGTATTGTTCAGTTTTTCAATACATTTCAATGACAGCAATAATAATTACTTGTAATGATTACGGTGAAAAATGGGATGGATTTTCATATTTTACACATTGCATTGAAAAGTAAAGCTGCTTTAAGCAGCCATTCCTCTGTTGGATTGACAGTACTGTCCACCCAGTGGCATATAAAGGAGACAGAGATCTGCCTGCTTGCATTTAATCACGTTGACTAGAAAATAGTGAAAATGTTTATTAAAGACATAATTAAAATCACTAACATGTGCATTAACTTTAATTTACCTTCTTGTTCATGACACTTTTCAGAATCTAATCTTTTAGCTCTTGATTTGGAAATATCTTTTTCATCTGAAATGTTTCAGATGAAACATAATTAGCCTTGGGTAATGCATACAGTAGCTTTCCACACTTCCAATATTCACTTATTCAATAACAACAATAATAATTACTTCTATTAATTAGAATTAATAATGGGATAAGTTTTCCTCTTGCCACTCGGGCATTAAATTAACAATGCCAATCAGTTGCCCATTGTATAAATAACAGAATCAATGGAAATTAAAATTGGAAACTTTTAGACCAATGTCTTATTAACAACATGAATTTTTCGTGAAAATCAATTGTACCATTACAAAGTTAGTCTTCCAATGCTTTGTAGCACCCTAAATATGTGCACGAATAGCTTGATGAACTATCATGGTGGAATTTTTAACTGGAGCAAGGACCATGACATCCTGTTTTCTCTTTTTAATTAAGTATTATGAGATTTAAACAGATGGGCTGCTTGAAGATCATAAGCAGGAATTCTCTATTCTACTGGCATCAAGTCTTTACAAGCATGATGGAAAAACTAAGGTTAATCAGGAATTTTTACAGTATTTACATATAAGATCATAGTTCACATCTAGTTGATGAAATCCTTTGTCTGTCCCTTCCTCTTTCCGAGAAGCCTCTTCCTCTCGAGTACATCCTTTCTTCCAAAGGGTTCTGCTCGACTGCTTGAGCTCCCACACTCAGTCATCGCTCACCATTGCTACCTGTTGCTGGAAGCCCTACACATTGTAAACAGTCACCATTTCCAAAACAGTTGCTTAATTAGCAGGTTTGATGGCATCATGATGGCTAGAATACTTGGATCCACATTAGTGTTTTTGGCAACTCCGATTAGAAAAATTGTAGAGGTTGTGGAGATAGCCGGATTTGCCCTCAAAAGAACCATTTCAGCTCCCTATGTGTACTGATATTTTTCATGGGTTCCAGAATCTGTGACAGATTGCCTACTTTGAATCTGGGTTGGTCAGGTATCCAGGAGTTGTATGATCAGTAGCATTTGTTACTTCAATTGCGGCATCCCAGCCGGCCATCCCTTCACTCTCTTCCAGGTTGAAGTAAGCCTCCCATTACTAGATGCAAGCCTTGGATTTATAACACATAGGTCACTCCAAGACTGCGCATTACCATCTGCCTGCACTTCATTCAAGCCATTAATCACCAACAATTCAAGTTCATCAATATTGCTAGGTGAACTGCTTGCCTTCAACATCATCCATTAGAATTTTGGCCTCAACCAACTCTTCTTTGTGAACTGTTTTCTGAGTCTGCTCTCCAATTACCTGTTCAAGAGCATAGGTATGGCTGCTTGAGTCCAGCTTCTTGATGACTCTAGGGTTCAGGATTTCCATCATCTTGTGTCTTATTCTAACCTGTTGATAGGCCAATTTCAGATGCATACCCTTGTGCCAACTGTAAGGTCAGTCCTGTCGGCTTTTCTTCTCAGCAGTTCTCTCTTGGTCCACTTGGATGTTATCTTGAACACCTGACTTAGCTTTATATGATGCTCAGCTATTTACTCATTGAGTTGGCTATCTCTATTAAATGATGAAGTGAACCCAAGGGGATGGCCAATGCAAAGGAATGGGCCTGATCTAAAGAAGATAAGAGTGGATGATAATGAATGCTATTATAAGCATAAATTATCTCTGGAAGGTAGTGGGGCCAACTTTTGTTTACTCTCAGGAGACAAGCTTATGGAGATCACAGTTGATTCATTCACACTTGTTATTACCCTCTGGATGAGAGGGAGTAATGTGGATCTTAGCTCAGAAATTGCAAAGTTCCTAGAGAATATTGCTCCTGAAGTTGCAACCCTGATCACTGGAAATCCAACATGGGATACTGAGACAGAAAAATCAATCATGTACTAAAACTCTGGCTATAACTGAGGCATTTTCACCATTGGTGTTAATGGTCTTTGTGAACTTGGTGAAGATGTCCATGAATATGTAATTACACTCGCTCCTGTGAATATTGATGTCAAGGACTGTAACATTCATTCCAAGGACTTCTAGAGGTGTCTTGGCAACCAGGATTTGCATGCTGGCTTGAGGTTGCTTCCTTGCTGGTCAATGCGGATCTCTCTCAGTTTTGGCAGTAGTCATTAACATCAGCAGCCATCCTGGACCAGTAACACTGCCGTCTGGTCAGTGCGATCATCTTTCCATCACTTGGTATCCCCTTGATCATGAATTGCAACTAAAACGTAGGAGTTATATCTGTTGGGAAGGATGTGTTGCTTCATCATTCTCTAGTTGTCATGAACCAGCCAATAGAGGACTCAATTCTCCTTTCTGATCCTCTTCCAGTAGCTCAACAATTTCTGTGCCTGTTTGGACTGCCTCATCAATTGGCAACTGATTATTGGATATTGGGCTTTCCAGGAATGGTGTACTGATCTCCAAGTCAATCAGCTGAAGCTGACTAAGGTCCTCTTACAAATACAAAAACAAATAACAAAGATAAAACCTTAGTTGGCTTTACTTCTATGGACCTGGTTTGAATATCACTCACATGTCCAGCAGTGACACTGCACTGAATCTTAGTCTGAGTGTCACTGGAATCTGGGTCAGAATGTTGCATTTGACTTGGGGTATGGGTAGTTATTTCAAAAACAATCCCCTAATGGTGAATTGCCTCCTGTGGACAGTCTTCTGATTAAAGGTATCAGCATTTACAACACTTTTGCCTGATCTGTACTAGTTCTGGAATGACATGTCATGTTCTGAGTGAGTTCAGAGACCTATTGAGTCTCTGTCACTCCAGGCATAACTTGAAACTGGTTGAGTGGGTTGTTACTTTTAACATTTCAAACTCTGCACTGATCAGAATGTCACTGAACATCAGGGAAATAGCCAATCTCAAAGCTAGTAGTTTTTGAGTTTCAGACAGGAGCAATTCCAAGTATTTGTCTCATTCAGTTTGAGTCACTGACTAGCATAATTGAAAACCATTCTTTCCTGCCTTTGAACCTGTGATAACACCACTCCTAGGCCAAGGAAACTGATGTCAGTGTTTATTTGAAAGGGAAATGAAAAGCCAAGCAGCAAGGACAGTGGGGAAACGAGTTTCTGCTTGAGGGAGCAAAAGGAGTCTTCACTTGCTGTAATGCACCGTGAAGTATCATGCCTTGTACATTCTTTCCCATTGGCTCTTTCAGCATTCTCTGATACTTACAGCAAGCCATGGAATGGGGTGGCCAACTGCGCATACCCTTTCATAAACCTCCTATAGTAATCAGCTAGACAAAGGAACCATTGCTGATCCCTCTTCCATTTTAGGCTGGGATCAATCCAACACTGTCTGCATTTTTTCATCCTGGGGGAATGTTTTCTTTGGTAACAAAGCGCCCAAAGTACCATATATTTGTCCAGAGAAGTGGCACTCCTTTGGTTTGACTTCCAAGTTTTGTGTCGATAAGGAGACTAAATTAGTGCTGTGACTTTCAAAGATGTCCTTGAATGTAAGGCCAAATATGAGTATGTCATGTCTATACCCAAAGATGAACTGGAAATTAAGGTCGCCAAAGCTTTATTCATCACATTTGAAGATGGCAAAGACATTACTGAGCCCAAAGGCATTCTCGTGTATTTGTAAAGTTCCCTGGAAACCATTCTGAATGCTGTCTTGTTCAGAGATGGACAGCTGGTTACAACACTGGGCCAAATTGAGACTGCAGAAATATTCTAAGTTGAGGGTAAGCATCCTTATGAGTTGTTGCATTTAGTGCCAGTAACTGGCACAGATTTTCTGTTTACTGTCTTTCTTCTGCTCAGGCCAAGCCAATTCCTGAAGGAACCTTGCCTTCCACCAGGCTCTCGGTGAGAGGCTCAACTAGTTGAAATGCTGGTGAGAAGTGAAGGCCTTTGCACTCTGCCACTCCTGAATGGTCTGATGTTGACCAGTTGGAGATGGCTGCCATTGACCTTCAAGAACAGTAATGGTATGAGTGGGTAAAAGCACAGCCCAATTCATTGCTACTTGAACAGTTCTTCATTCCACTGAAGTATTGATCAGGTTACAAACAACCAGAAACCCCAGGCTATGAAAAGTGAGATTGACAACAGATTGAGACCATTTGACGTAGTCTTGATGAAGGGTGTCCCAACCTTGTGAAGGCGCAACTATTTCTCTTATGGTGAGAAAGGAAGCTATTACACTAGATGGGATCTCTATGCCTGACGGCACAGTGACAGCATCACTGCAACAGCCTCAGTACTCAACACCAACAACTGCAAATTTCCAGACGCCGTCCTACAACTCATCCGTTCATCCTCGACCATAATGTCTTCACCTTTGACAACTAACTCTTCATCCAGTCACACAGAATAGCTATGGGGACCAAATTTTCACCCCAATGTGCCAACATTTTCATGCACAAGTTCGAGCACTATACACCAGACACATCAAAGACATTTTCTTCCCTTGGACTCAAGGTGAGGAATCACAGAAATGACTACACAATGATATCAACAAGTTTCATCCCACCATCATACTTACCACGGACTACTCTTCTGTATCAGTCTCATTCATGGACACACGCATCTCCATCAAGGACAGACACCTCAGTACCTCACTCTACCAAAAACCCATGGATAACCTCATGATGCTGCACTTTTCTAGCTTTCTCAAGTTAAAGAAACCATCCTCTATGGACAAGCCATGTGCATACACAGGATTTGCTCAGATGAGGTTGAATGCAATGGACACCTGAAGATGCTGAAAGATGCCCTCATAAATGGGATATGATGCTCAATCTATCTATCACCAGTTCCAAATAATGGCCACAGTGAAAAACCGCAATGACCTCCTCAGAAGACTGACCTCATCAGAAGACAGGATACGACTGATAGAGTACCCTTCGTTAGCCAGTACTTCCCTGGAGAGGAGAAATGAAGCTATGTTCTTCGCAGTCTTCAACATGTCATCGACGACAATGAACATCTTGCTAAGATCATCACTACGCCTCCACTTCTTGCTTTCAAACAACCGCCAAAACTTAAACAGACCATCATTCATAGAAAACTACTCAGCCTTCGGGCCAACATCACACAACCCTGCCATGGCAACCTCTGCAGGACATGCCAGATCATTGACATGGATACTAACATCACACGTGAGAACACCACCCACCATGTACATGGCAGATACTCATGTGACTCGGCCAATGTCGTCTACCTCATATGCTGCAGGCAAGGATGCCCTGAGGCAGAGTATGTTGGAGAGACCGTGCAGACTATAAGACAACAGATGAACGGACACCAAACAATGATCGCCAGACAGGAATGTTCCCTCCCTGTTGGAGAACACTTCAGCGGTCAAAGACATTCAGCCTCCGATCTTTGGATAAGCATCCACTAAAGCGGCCTTTGAGATACACAACAATGCAGAATTGCCAAGCAGAAACTGATAGCCAAGTTCCGTACACCTGAAGAGGGCTTCAACCATGATCTTGGGTTCATTTCATGCTGCATGTGACCCCACCATACTGTTCTGTAAAATCTTCCTTATTTTCTGTGTTTTGACATCATCACCTTGATAACTTGTTATGATCTCTCTACCTGAATTAGTTTGTACACTTTTGGATTACTTGTTACTTTGGTTAGACCCTCGGCATGTGTCTCTTATATCTAGTTTGTTGTTCCAGTCGTTTGTTTTGTCTCTAGCATGAACTTATTTCCAATTTTTTGCAATTATCTCTTTCCCTCAAGTAAGCAGATCACAGGTTATCCCTTCACTTGTTATTCAGCTGTTGACACCTTACTCACACCATCTGGTACTCTTGATCACCTGCAGAGACTTATTATTTGGCCTGTCAACACTCCACTCATACCATTTATATGATCTTTTGATCTCTCTGATTATAAACTCGGTGCCTGTGTGCTCTCTTCACTTCACCTGACAAAGAGGCAATGCTCTGAAAGCTTGTGATTTCAAATAAACCTGTTGGACTATAACCTAGGATCATATGACTTTTGACCTTGATGGCAGTAGTGGTCATGGTTGTTGAACACAGTCTAGTTTAAATCAGCGGTTATGGTGTTGTTTCAAAATGCCCACCTGTCTCTCAATTCCTACAGTCTTTGAAGCATCTCTTGGGTAGGATTGACTAAAAGGCTTATTATGGAGATAGGTCACCAAGTACCAGATTTGTACTTGTTATACTGCAATCTGTTCCACTTGACTCCTCAGACTGAGGTCTAAATTCATAGCTGTGTCAACAGACATCTCCATGATGGTATCCTCATTCGTGGTTGTTGGAGTCTAATCATTCCCCATGATTCAGATGATTTGATTTAGCTCTTCAACACCATCTGGACATTTCCAACCCACACCCCTTCAGTTAAGTGGTCCATCAACGGCCTGTCTTTGGTTGCTTTGAAGGAGGTATCCAGGAGAAAGATGCCATCAAACAACTTCATCAGCTATTGATACAGAGACCAGACCCTCTCCTTTGGCTTGTATGTACGCAAAACCTCTCTTATAGCTGTGACAGGCTAATGCTGTCTCCCAAAAACCCCTGCTAGTACTTCCACAGTTTGAAGCCTTCCCTCACCTCACTTTCTTCACCCATCTTTATCTATTGTTACTGCATTGCAATCCATGTCCAGCTGCTGTTACTGTCATATTCTGCAGCTCCAACAGATGTAATACTAACCTCTGTCACTTCCAATTTCTCCATAATTTGTTGCACATTTACAGTGCTCTAACATTAAATGCACATCTTCAAATAATCTTGCTTGGTCAAACTCACAAACTTCCTTCTTTCTTATAGAACAAGTTAGCACACAACATATGGGAGGGAATACAACAGCAGTATAAGGTGACATCATGTCTCTCTTGGAGGAGTAGATGTTGCCATTGTGAGTAGGGACATATAAATTAACAAGACTGAAGGCCACAAGTCAGAGATTATCTATAAACCTTACTGCAATTCCCCATTTCACTGTTATTTCCTGCCTATATACTTTGCACAAAAGGTGAAACCATTTTATGCACTTTCTCCTTTCCAGGGTACTAAGCACTGGTCTCCAATATCCATCCAGTGGCATTTTGTAAAGCACACAGAGTTGCATTTGCATACAATTTCTTGGATGAGGAAATAAAGAGATTATTGATTAATCATACATAATGTCTAACATTAATATGTACACATTTTTATTTACCTTCCAGTTCGTCACACTTTTCAGGACCTGATTTTCCAGTTCATGATCTGAAAGTCTCTTTCCTATCTGCAGTGTTTCAGAAGTATAGCTAGTATTTGATTAGGCATAGAGTGGCTTTCTTCAATTTCAGTATTGTTCAATTTATTCATTTATTTCAGCAACAGCGAAAACAATTACTTGTATCAATTAGAGGGAATAATGGGATAGATTTTCAATTTGCCAACCAAGCATACAATTAACCATGAAAACTGGTTGCCCTATCTACACATAAAGAGATGAAAATGAGATATTTGTGAGAAAAAGTGCCATCCACAAATCCAGTTTTTTTAAAATGAAGCCTGGAACGAACTGGAAGGAAAATAAAAATGTGTGTACATATTAATGCTAGACATTATGTATGATTAATCAATAATCTCTTTATTCCCTTATCCAAGAAGTTGTACGCAAATGCAACTCTGTGTGCTTTACAAAATGCCACTGGATGGATATTGGAGAGCAGTGCTAAGTACCCTGGAAAGGAGAAAGTGCACAAAGTGGTTTCACCTTTTGTGCAAAATGTATAGGCAGGAATTAACAGTGAAATGGGGAATTGCAGTAAGGTTTATAGATAATCTCCTACTTGTGCCCTTCAATCTTGTTAATTTCTATGTTACAAAATTCATTTTCCAATTCTTTGCATAAAGCAATCTGTTTACTCCTGAATAAGTGCAAAAACAACTGAATGTGCTTTAAATGTGGCCTTTTAAGTGGAGCAATTACCCTGTCCAAGATTTTTTAAAAATCAATTTGTTCAGGCATGTTACAACACATGCCTGGGGCAGGTGAAATGTGAACCTGGGCATTCTGGTCCAGAGGTATGGACACTACCACTGCACCGCTAGAGCCCTTGTAGATGATACCATCTTATGGTTATCCCTTCTTAAAGATTGAAAGAGGTCAGTTGCCAGAGATATGAAGGCACTTATCTTGCTGCTCAACTGATAGGGTAGGCAAAACAATTCTTCCTAATGGAGGCAGTTTGCAATTTCAAACCTTTCTCCTTTCTTCACCCACCTTTACATACTGAGACCACCCTTCAATCTCCTTGCTGTATTTTCATATTCTGCATCCCTTACAGTCATATTATTCCTTGCCTCTATTCCCAAAATTCTGTGATTTGTCACACATTTACAGCATTCTGACCTAACATTATACCTTTAATTCACTTGCCAAGGAAACCATAAACATACTTCTATTATGGAACAGAAGAACACCAAAGCAGGCGAAGACTATGTCATGTCACTTATGATGATTGCTGTTGTGGGTAGGGAACACAGAAATGGAAAAAGGGTTGCAGTTGACACATAATGGAGTTTTAACAGACCTTACCCTCATTCCCCTTCTCTTTACCACCTCCTTTTATAGTTTGCACACCAAAGTGAACCTGCTTTCAGCAGCCTTTCCTTTATAGGATATTTCATTCTGCGCTCCAATATTCAGTGGCATATTTCAAACATACAGATGTTGTGCTTCATTCTATATAAACTCATTGTCTAGAAAACAGAAAGATTGCCTATTCATGATGCAAATTTCTAAGCATTAGCACGGATGCACGTTTTTAATTATCTTTCAGCTCATGGCACATTTCAGGATCAGGACACTACCCATCATCATCACCACTCCTCGCCCGATCTCCCTGACTGCTTGGAGACTGCAATAACACCACCTCTGTTGGTATAGGTCTCTTTTCCTATGCATGACCCTGTTTATAATTCCTCATCTCTCCCTCGTGATTGATAAAACCCACGTCAGCAATTAATTATCTCCAGGAGGGTTAATGTTCAAAATACCTTTCTGAAGATCTTCACAGAACTGAAAAACTGAAATCATTTTTTTCACTAGCTTCTATCCAAATTCTGAAATAATTATACTATGTACTATGAGCCTTCATTACACAGGGTTTCTACAGATCTCACCCTCTTTCCTCTAATCACTGCCTTTCATTCCTCTGCACCTTGTGCGACAAAGAAAAGCTGCTTCAAGTAGACATTCGTTTCTAGAATTCATAGTATTGCTCTCCAATACCCATCCAGTGGAACATTAACATAAGGTTTATCAGAAAATAGATTACCTATTAATAGTATATGATTCAAAGCACTAATGTGTACACATATTTATTTACCTTCCAGTTCATGACATGTTTCAGTTTCTGATCTTCTAGCTTTGGATCTGGAAGTATCCTTTCTATCTGAAATATGTTTCAGAAGAAGTATAATTAGAATTGGGTAAGCTGCTTTCCCCAGTTTCTTCATTATTCACTTTTTTACTTAATTTCAACAATAGTAATAATAGTTACTTGATTGATGAGGTTGAATATTGAGATAGATTTTCAACTTGCCATTTAGGATACAACTAGGAAAACTGATGAATTGTTCATGATACAAATAATGGAAATGAAAATTAGACTTTTTTTAGAACACTTGACCCATCCACAATACTACTTTTACGTGAAAATATAATTACAAAAATAATCTTCAACTCATGGGTGAAAGATCCTGAATTTTTTTTATCCTGACTAGGTGGGTGGGGAGTGGCTGAATGAAGTTAATGAGTATTTGTGGAAATAGGAAAGGGTTCTTGTGGCACAGTGGTGGTGTCCCTACCCCTGAGCCAGGAGGCCTGGGTTGATGTCCTACCTGCTCCAGAGGAATGTCCAGAAAACCATAAGACGTAGGTGCAGAATTAGGTCATTCAACCCATCAAGTCTGCTCCACCATTCAATCATGACTGTTATGTTTCTCAACCCATTCCCCTGCCTTCCCCGCACAGCCCTTATTCTCTAACTAATCAAGAACCTATCTATCTTTATCATAAATACACTCAATGACTTGGCCTCCACAGCCCTCTGCAGCAATGAGTTTGACACAGTCATCACCCTCTGGCTAAAGAAATTCCTCCTCATCTCCGTTCTAAAGGATCACCCTTCACTCTGAGGCTGTGCCCCCAGGTCCTGGTTTCTCATACCAGTGAAACCATTTTCTTCACATCCACTCTATCCTGGCCTCTCAGCATCCTGTCATAATATCTCTGAATAGGTTGACTAAAATTATGAGATAGAAACCTTTGTAATGTATCCAAGTTTGCTGATCATACAAATAAACTTTTTGCACCTGAACGAGATGGGAAGTGCTCAGGTGAGTGAAGCAAAGGATCTCTTCTTCAAGGGAGCTTTGCACTTCCAATTCTTTTGTCCCTATTTCTCTTCATCCTCTGCTACCACGTTGTAATCCATCTCCAGTTGCTGCTGCTGTTACATTCCACACTCCTGTGGTTTGCTTATTTCTTTGCTCACCACCATTCTCACTTCAATTTATTACATATTCATAGTAAACTAATCTTACATGTAAATCTTTAAATCACGTTCCAAGGCACTGTCAACATACTTTTTTCTTTCTTATAGTACTTCAGACACACTATATGCAAGAGCAGAAGAACACCAGAGCAGAGTGCGTACAAAAAATGATTTAGAAGCAAAATAGAAGTAGCTTTCAAGCCTGCCCCATCATTTAATAAAATCACGGTTGATCTGTTTGTGTTTCAATTCCACATTCTCATTTACTCTTGATAAACTTTGATTCCTTTGCCTAAAGAGAATTTATCCACCTCTCAGGTTTTAGAGTAGATTTGTAACTTGGGTTGTGGATGTTGTGGTTGGTTGGCTGGCTCGCTGAGGTGGTTCGTTGTTCCGCAGACGTTTCATTACCCTGCTGGGTAACATCATTAGTGCAGCCTCCGATGAAGCGCTGTTGTGTTTTCCTGCCTGTCTAAACTCTGGTATCCGTTGAGCTGGATTACCTCACTTCCAGTTTTCCTTCGCAATGGAGCGTACATGGGGTCTAGCTCTATGTATTTATTGATGGCTTTCTTAGTGGAGAACCAGGCTTCTAGGAATTCCCGTGCTTGTCTCTGTTTTGTCTGTCCCAGGATCCTGGTGTTGTCCCAAACGAATTGGTGGTTTTCTGTATCCATGTGGGTTGAGATGAGTGAGTATTGGTCGTGTCTTTTTGTTGCCAGTTGATGTTCATGTACCCTTGTAGTTAATTTCCTTCCTGTTTGTCCAATGTAATGTTTGTTGCAGTCTCTGCAGGGAATCTTGTATATGACATTGGTCCTGTCCATAGTGGGTAGTGGATCTTTGGACGTGTGAGCAGTTGGCGTAGGGTTGATGTGGGTTTGTGTGCTACTCTAATGCCCAGTGGTCATAGGAGTCTTGTGGTCAGCTCAGATGCGTGGTGAGTGTGTTGGGGCATATAGTGTCTTCCTGGTGTCGTTCATGCGATAGGCATCTTCTGACCCAGTTTTTTGGGTATCCATTATCTTTGAATACCTTGAAGAGGTACTCTTCTTCTTTTTGGCGTAGTTCTGTGCTGCTGCAGTGTGTTGTTGCCTGTTTAAATAATGTTCTCACGCAACTTCATTTGTGTCTGTTAGGGTGGTTGCTGTTGAAATTCAGTACTTGGTGAGTGTGTGTGGCTTTCCTGTGTACCTTTGTTAGGAATTCCCCATTGGTCCTGCGTTCCATCATGACATCCAGGAATGGGAGCTGTTTGTTCTTCTCCTCTTCTCTGGTGAATCTGATCCCGGTGAGGGTGTTGTTTATTAGTTTGTGTGTCTCCTCTAGTTTGGTCCATTTAATAATGACGAAGGTGTTGTCCACATAGCGTATCCATAGTTTTGTTTGGATGAGTGGAAGGGCCATACTTTCAAGTCTCTGCATCACTGCTTCAACTATTAGTCCAGAGATAGGTGATCCCATGGGTGTCCCGTTGATCTGTTCATATATTTTGCTGTTAAAGGTGAAGTGGGTGGTGAGGCATAGGTCCAGCAGCTTCAGCATGTTGTCTGTGGAGATAGTGTCACTAGGGTCTTCTTCTTGTTTTAGTAGTGTTGTCAGTGTTTCTGTTGCTAGTGGTATGTCTATCGCTGAAAATAGGGCAGTAACGTTAAATGATACCATGGTCTCGTCGTCATCTATTCTTATGTCCTTGATGGAATTGAGGAACTCCTGGGCTGAGCGGATTGAGTGGGGTGATTTGCTGACGAGGTGCTTTCATCTCCTCTGTAGCTCCTTGGCTAATCTATGTGATGGCGTACCTGGCAGGGAGACTACGGGTCTGAGGGGTACTTCCGGTTTGTTTACCTTCGGGAGGCATTAGAATTGAGGGGTGTTAGTTCCTTCAGGTTTCATTCTTAAGAAGTATGTTTTGTTGATTTGTCCGGTCTGTTTGAGTCTGTTAGTGTGTTGAGAATCTTGTTGCCCAGTTGTGGTGAAGGGTCTGTCTGCACTTGCTGATATGTATTCTTGTTGAAGAGTAGTGCATATGCCTTGGAGAAGTAGTCCCGTTTATTTAGTATTACCGTCATGCACCCTTTGTCTGCTGGTAGTATTGTGACGTTCTTGTCCTTTCTCAGTCCTTCTAGGGCCTTCCTTTCAGATGTGTTGAGAATGTTGAGTTTGCTTTTTCTGGTCAGTGTCGGGAACACTGTCTGTCTTATGGCTTGTTGTGTTTCTTCATTGATGCCATTGGCCTTCAGTGTGGCTTCCAGTGTGGCTAGGAATTCTGCTTTGTTGGCGTCTCTGTGGCTGTAGTTGAGTCCATGAATTAGAACAGCTTTCTCTGTGTCTGTCAGTTTCCTGTCTGAAAGGTTTCTTACCCAGATGTCTGCTCTGTTGTTGTCATTTTGGTGGGTTAGTTTGGCTAGTTTTTCCTGAAGGGTCTGTCTTTTCCTGGCTGTTGTGGTCTGTTGACTGATGTTGATGGCACATTCTAAGTCCGTTGTCCAGTCTTGGTTGGTAGCTTCCAGGAATAAAGTTTTTCGGCACGTAATTGTTCTGTCCTATCTGTGGAGCCGGTTGTGTGCGTCGCTGATCATTACCTTTACCATCCTGTGGCCATTGTGTTCTGCTGTTTTATGAGCTTGTGGATTATTGATGGGGGGATTTGTATTTCACACTGCGTGGTAATACCTGGTTCCTGAGGTATCCATTTAGGAAGTAGAGTTGTTCGCGGGTAGCGCTGTCGTTTGGCGTAGTTTTCCCATTTTTGTGCCAATTTGAGCGTGCTTCACCCATAGGTCTCTAAGGTTTTAGAGTAGATTTATAGCTCGGGTTGTGTATGTTGTGATTGATTGACTCGCCGAGCTGGTTCGTTGTTCCGCAGACATTTCATTTCCCTGCTCGGTCACATCATCAGTGCAGCCTCCGATGAACCGCTGTTGTGTTTTCATAAAGAAACACAAATACAACAGCGCTTCATCGGAGGCTGCATCTAATTAAATTAGATTTGAAGCTTTTTTATTTACCTTCTGATATGTGATAGGATTCAGCATCTGGTCTTTTAGCTCCAGAACTGGAGGTATCTTTTCGGTCCGAAATATGTTTTAGAAGACATAATTAGCATCACATTATATATAAAGAAGCTTTCCCCACTTTTATCATTGGTTTGCTTTTCAATTTGTTCAACAACAAGTCCTTGTTTCAATTAATATGAAAAATGTTCCCTCCGTCACCACTGCAGACATCAGATCTGTCTTCTTGATGGTCAACCTGAGGAAAGCGACAGGCCCAGATGCAGTCCCTGGCCATGCACTTAGATTCTGTGCGGACCAGGTGGCAGAGGTATTAGCTGACATCTTCAACCTCTCCTTGCTGCAAGCCAAAGTGCCCACTTGCTTCAAGAAGACCACTATAATCCCAATACCAAAGAAAACACATGCAACGTACCTTAATGACTACCGCCTAATGGCTCTGACCTCAATAATCATGAAGTCCTTTGAGAGACTGGTCACGGCCCACTTCAGCTCTAGCCTCCCAGCCTGCCTCGATCCCCTGCAACTTTCCTATCTGTGAAACAGGTCCACAGTAGATGCCATTTCCCTAGATCCACAGTTATCCCTGGAACTTCTGGATAACAAGGCCATCTATGTAAGGGTCCTACTCACCGACTACAGCTCCGCCTTCAACACCATAATCCGTTCCAGACTTATCTCAAAACTCCAAGATCTAGGTTTCAGCTCTGCCCTCTGCAACTGGATCCTCAACTTCCTGACCCACTGACTGCAATCAGTGAAGATCGACACCAGCACCTCCTCCACAATAATCCTCAACACTGACACCCTGCAAGGATGCATTCTCAGCACCCTACTGTACTCCCTGTACGCTCACCACCGTGTAGCCAAATTCTGAATGAACGCCATCTACAAGTTTGCTGACGACACCACCGTGGTAGGATGGATATCAAACAATGATGAGTCAGAATACAGAAAGGAGACCGAGTGCTAGGTGTTGTGGTGCAATGATAACAATCTCTCTTCCAATGTTGGCGAAACAAGAGAACTGATCAGTGACTTCAGGAAGAAAGGATGACGGCATGCCCCTATCTACATCAACAGAACCAAGGTGGAGAGGATCGAGAGTGTCAAGTTCCTAGGAGTGATGATAACTGACAATCTATTCTGAACATTCCATGTAGATGTGATGGTCAAGAAGGGACAACAACGACTCTTCTTCCTCAGGCAGCTTAGGAAATTCGGCATGTCCATAAGGACCTGGCACAGCAACTGCTCTGTCCAGGATGGTAAGAAACTACAGAAAGTTTTGTGCACAGCCCAGACCACCACAGAAGCCGACCTCCCACCCATGGACTCCATTTACATTTCTTGTTGCTGCAGAAAGGCTGCCAACATCATCAAAGACCCTCCCATCCCGGTAATGCTTTCTTCCAGCCTCTTCCACCAGGCAGAATATACACAAGTTTGAACACGTGCACTGACAGGTACAGGAACAGCTTCTTCCCTGCCGGTATTAAACTGCTGAATGGACCTCTAACTTCAAATAATGTTGATCTTGCTTTGTGCACCTCTGTGCAGCCATAACCTTGTATGCCTCGCTCTGTCTAAACACCCTATGATCTGTATGTCCTAGTTTGCCATGATCTGCCTGTACTTTTCACCGTACTTGAGGTACATGTGGCTACAAATCAAATCACATCAAATGGGACAGAATTTCAACTTGCCAATGAGGCATTAAGCTGGCAATGTCGATCGGTTGTACATTGTACAAATAATGTAATCAATGTAAATGAAAATTGGAATCTTTTAGAACTATTGCCCTAGCCACAACACCATGAAAACCTGTTCTAAAGTTGCAAAATTAATTTTCTAACCCTTTGCATAAAAATTTGGTTCAATCCAAATAGGTGTGTGAACTGCTGAATGCTCTTTCCCGTGGCCTATCAAATGAACAAAGGATTATGTCTCATTGTTTTCCCTTCTTGATTAGAGTATAAAGACCAACTGCCAAAGATATCATGGCATCTATGTGACTGCTCAATTTATGAAGATGTGCTCAAATGGGTGAGGTATAAAATTTCTTCTTCAGTGAGGACGTTCCACATTTTTAAATCTTCCCTCCCAATTTCCTTATCCACCCTTATCTACTGCAATCCATCTTCACCTTCTGCTACTGTCATATTCTACACCCACTACAGTTGTATTTTTACTTCCCTTTCCTCCCAAATCTCACAGTTTGTCACACATTTGTAATGCCCTAATCTTAAATGCACACCTTCAAATTACCTTTTTAAGCCACACAAACATACTTGATTCTTGCTTACAATATAACTTGCCAAAGAACTTGTCTCAAGTTGGGAGCAGGCACTACGGTAGCGCAAAACCATATCAGATCTCCACTGACAGTGTGAAGATTTGCTATTGTGGTTAGGGGTAGGGGCATGGAAATGATCAAGGTTACAGATCACAGGTTTGCTCACACATTACCCTCATTGACCTTCTCAGTGTCATCTCACCCATACAATTTCCATGACAAAGGAAAACTGTTTCAGGCAGCATTCATTTCTAGAATACATTCTATTGTTCTCTAATATCCAAATAGTAACACATATAAAGGATATGGAGTTGTACTCCATCTGTACATTACATTGACTAGAAAATAGTGAGACTGTTATTGAGACAGAATGTCAAGCATTAACACATACACACATTTTCATTACCTTCTGGTTCATGACATGTTTCAGTATCTGATGTTCTAGCTTTAAATCTGAGAGTATCTTTTCTGTCTGAAATATGTTTCAGAAGAAGTGCAATTAGCATTTGGTAACATATAGAGTAGCTTTCTACTTTCTCAGTATCATTCAGCTTTTTATTGAGAAAACTATTTCATTTGCATCAATTACTTAAATAGTGGGATTGATTTTCAACTTAACAATCAGGCATAAAGCTAGCAATGCCAAGTGATTGCCTATTCTCCAATGATTGCCCATTCTGCAATGAAAATAGAAATTGGACATTTTTTTCAGACATACTCTTTGCCTATTGCTGTTACTTTTCAATCCATCTTCACCTGCTGCTATTGTCACTTTCTGCATACTGTACAGGTACATTATGTCTTTGCTTATCTCTCATTCTTCACAATTTGGCACACAATCACAGTGCAGGGTGACAGCATTTAATGTCACCCATTTAGCACTGTTTCACTTTAATATCGTCAAATTATTAAAACTGGAAATCTTGTTGAGCATTTCGAGATTTGTGATATTGTTGTTCACTGAACTACTACACATAACTGAACCAATTGGTTCCATTTGGTACAGTCTCTCCCACTCTCTGTCTTGTATCCTCATCCTATGCTGAAATACTGCATCAGTTCTGTACCAGGGAGATCCCACCCGACAGGCTGTGGAGTGCCTACTGAAGCCACTGCTAGCCCTGGCTGCACAGCAGTCAGTGCTTCAAAGTATCGCTCTGTGTGGTCCCCACCGAGCACAGATCCAATGAAGTTACTCTGCTGAGCTTGGGATCCTCCCTCCATTACCTTCCCTGGTCCACAGTAACGACTGAGTACAGGAGCACCCATCAACCTCCTCCCCTCAAGTGTGTGGCCAAAACCGTGGGCTCTGTGGCAGACTGGCAGAACAACAAAAGGGAGCTGCCAAACTATCCAGGAAAAGTGGCTATCATCATCTGGTCTCAGCAGCTTCTTCCATACAGCTGGCTGGAAGACACAATCTGCCATAGTTATGTCACTGTGTTGGTCATTATCATAGGGGGAGTGAGATGCGGAGGAGGTGCAAGAAGAGAGAGACAGATAGAGGTAAGTGAAAAAGTGACAGTGCTCACCAATGACCCATATCTCACCAGTCAGGAAAAGCGGAAAGAAAAATCAAGATTCTGCAGCTAATAAAAAGGTGCAGCCCACCAAGCAGTAGTGTGACCAGTCATTGCAAGTGCCAGGAGCAAGCAAGTAATGATGCCTTGAAATAACCAGCCAGTGGCTAGGAATAAGTGATTGACCTCCTGCTGAGGTTATGAGCAAAGGTTCCTTGTGCAGAACCCAGGTAGTGACTCCCGTAGCTCTACTCTGGGGAGATCCCCTACTGGGGATGTTGTAACTAGAGTGTGACTGTGTTTTCCTTTTAATATTTCTAAATTCATTTTATTTTAACAGCTATTTCATTTACTAATAGAGGACTTTAGACACTTAAAATGATATATTATAATTTTTTTTCTGGAAAGGAAGGCCCAATGGAACAAAACTCCAGTTTCAATATTGATCCTGTAGAAATCAATTCTTCACTCGGAGTCTTTTCACTTAAAGTTGTGATTTTCAGGAATGCAACACAGACTTTAACTAAGGACATCCTGTACCCCAACCTTATATGCATATCTATAAATAACCCTCCTAGGTTGCCTCAAAGGTACACAGAATATGAGAGCAGAAAATCATCAGAGCAGTGTAAAGACAACATCAGGTTCCAGAACAAATATTTGACATTGTGAGTAGAAGACACAGAAATTAATAAGGCTGCCGCATATAAATCACATGTTTTCTGCAGATTGTACTATTGCTTCCCTTCAGTGATGTCCTGGGGCTCAGATGATTGACCTCCAACAAATACAACTAATTTCCTCAATGCTAGATATGATAACAACCAACAGAGAGTTTTCTCATCTGTTTCCAATTACCTCCACTTTTACTAAAATTTCTTGATAACATACCTCTATCAAATAAAAAATGAAAGAACTACGGATGCTGTAAATCAGGAACAAAAACAAAGTTTCTGGAAAAGCTCAGCAGGTCTGGCAGCATCTGTGAAGGATAAAACAGAGTTAACGTTTCGGGTCCGGTGACCCTTCCTCAGAACTCAGTATTTATCTGGATGACATGCGAATTACAGGGAAGACCAATAAAGATCATTTAGAAAACTTGGACATCGAGCTTAAATGTTTCTCCCAAGTTGGAATGCCTTAGCAGGGAAAAATGTGTGTTCCAGGCACCCCAAGTGACCTACTTGGGCTACAGACAGCTGCCTGAAGGTGAATCGAACCCGGTTTCCTGGCACTGTGAGGCAGCAGTGCTAACAATTGAGCCAGCGTGCCGCCCTTGTCCAGGAGGCCAAGTGGCAAACACTGATGCCTTGAGCCACCTCCCACTGGCGTATATACCATCAGTGGTGCTGTCTTTGGAACAGTCCACAATGGTTTTAAACTTTCTGGACAATCTTCCGGTCATCGTTGACAATATCGGTCTATGGACATAAAAAGATTCTGTCCTGGCAGAACTGAAAGATGGTGACGCAGGAAACAAAAGCGCTATCACAACTAGAGCTGAAATCTTTTGGGACCCAGCAAGACTAAATCACCATAGGGGATGTCATATTATTATGGGGAGCAAGAGTGACTGTCCTGAGCCAAAGTCACTGCTAAATACTGGCTGAATCCTACTAGATCATCCAAAGGTGTCCAAAGTGAAGATGTCAGTGAGACGTTATGTTTGGTGGCCAGGATTGGATGCCAACATAGCTGCATTGATGGGGCAGTGCCCAAAATGCCAAGGAGGATAGAAGTTACCGCCAGCAGCTCCCCACATTTGCGGGAATGGCCAGATAAACCTTGGATTCGGTTACATGTCGACTATGCTGGTCCTTTCATGGGCTGAATAATTTTAGTCATTGTGGACACAAATTCAAAGTGTTTGGACATGTGTAGAGTTAATTCATCAAACATGGCGATGACGTTTGAAAAGCTGCGAGCATCTTTTATGATACATGGATTCCCAGAAGTGTTGGTCACAGATAACGGGCCATCTTTTACCAGCGGTGAATTTAAGTATTTCCTAAAGTTGAATGGCATTAGGCAAGTAAGGACAGCTCTATTCCAAGCATCGTCTAATGGTTTGGCAGAAAAAGCAGTCCAAACTTTGAAGGCAGGCATAAAGAAAGCCTAAAGCTTTTCTTGATACCAATTTGTTCTGCTTCCTGTTTAATTATAGGATCACCCCTCACGCAATTACAAGGACAGCTCCAGAGGAGTTGCTAACGGAGGGAAGATTCTGCACCAGGTTAAATATGATCTTCCTGGACCTGGGGGTAGGGTGAAACAGCGTCAGGAATGCCGACGCCGAACAAAAGACTCCGCTGAGTAAGATAGTTTAATTTAGGGGACGACGTTTGGTGTTGAAACCACAGAATAGCCCTGCATGGATAAAAGGTATGGTCAATGTAAGGTTAGATCCCATGACGTTCAGAATTTGGGTAGGTGAGGCAGTCCTGAACAAGTGTGAGGGCCACACGAAAGCTGTAACCTTGCAAACGGGACAGGAGCAAAATGTACCTGGCTCCTCAGAACATTCAACAAGCTGTCAGAACCCGTGGGTTCTCCCCCTCCTCCTATCATTGAAGAAACCTCTGAGGATGACATGGACAAGGTAGACGTCACAGGCTTGACACCATCACTGCCTGAAGAAGATGGGTTTTGCCCGAGACACTCCAGTGCAAGAGGTGGACTATAGACTGGTACATGCCACCTGTACCTGAGGTAGAGTCAAAGGAACCGGAATTGGTGCAAAAATGCCCAAGGAGAAGCTACAGGAAAAAGAACAGGCCTACTTTTCAGGAGTTTGAGGGGGAGGGATGTAATGATTGAAACAATGTCAGCCAGGTGGATCTCATGGAATATGAGTTCCCTGATTGGGGCTGTTAATGTGGTCCAATCAAGGAGTCCAGGCTGACACTTATAAACAGGAGTGTCAGGGGTTCTACTCACTCTAGGCTAGCTGGGTCAACACTAGCTGGCTAGCTAGTGTAATATACTATGCACGTGTAAATACAGGGTGGCTTGGTGATGGGATCCTGGCCTTCGTGGAGTTATTTCATATAACATTGATAGAAGATGGTCAAGTCAAAATGTAAAATTTTGCTTTTTGATTATCCATGCCTATTTTCTGAAAGTGAAGCTTATGACTAGTGGAAGAATTAAATGACCATGTGGACCTGGATTTACCAAAGGGGAAATGAGGTATGGCCATACAAAAGCAGGATAAGAAGCAAAGTTTTTACTCAGAATTGAAGCCTGATGATTCAAACAAGGATTATCTTTTGGACAGACTATTAACTTTCCTGTTTAAAATTTATCAAAAAGGTGTTTTATTGACTACTCGAAATGTGGGTCAGATTTTGATAAATTCAGAAACACTAAGGATTGTACAATGCAACAGTTATAGAAGAACTGAATTCAATTGATTGTATGCAAGACTGCAGAAACTTCATTTGAATATTTCTCAATTTATGCTGGCATTTAAGTTATTCAACTGTACAATGTATCATGTATGGACAGACTTCTAGTTTTGACTAGAGTTAAAACTATGGCCATGTGGCGAGAACAAATGTCAGATGCACAAAAGCAATTCTCAAGTAAGCATTCCTTTCCAGTAGCTTTCTTAGCACAAAGTGGCAAACAAAAAATAAAAGACACAACGTTAAAAAGCCAGAAAGACCATTGGGATACAAGTTGCAGGTGACAGTATAAAAGGTGGACTGTATCTAAAAAGAAATAAAAACAGAAATGCTGATAATGATTTTGAGAATCAAAGAAAATTCAGGGTCTACAATAATTGAAGTAATCCTAGAAATTCTGAGAATATAGTCGAGCAACGTTTCAGGTGCAATTCAAAGTTTCATTATGCCATGAACTGTCCCAAATAGTATAACAGACTATTTAAAACAACTTGAAATGTAAGATTCAGAGGAAGAAGGCAGAGATATAGACCAAAGAAAGCACA